CTCGTCCACTGTACATATAAGGTACACACTAGCATGGATACACTAGGCTTTTCGGGAAACATCCCACTGTTTGCGTTTACCAAATAAAGAGTGAATCTGCTGTAAATCGTCCATTTTGCATTAATCTGCAGCTGTTTGATGACTCGTGGAAATAAATGACGGGTAAACTGCAGTTATTTGATCATAGATCTGTTAACAATGTAGCTCGGATATGACCGAACTGTCAACTGAGTAGTGCTGTGCTTAGGTGTAAAGTATTAAATTAGAAAGTCAAATTGGTTAGTAAACTTCGAGCCTTCACCGGTTACGTATATCCAACCACCACTATCTAGAAAAGATATATCTGAAGTAGGTTGGGAAAAATTAGTAAGTAGATCGAGATATAACAACGATTCACTTAATGCCAGGATAAGTCATTTGGGTAGCCATGGACTTCCAGTTCTAGGCTCACCCAGTACTCAATAAATGATTAGAAACTTTAAGTGACGTGGTTCTAAATCGGTCACAATGACGTAATGTTATTTAGTCTCTATCTCTATCTAAATATTGAGTTCAGTTTCATTCCTGAATCCCATTCCCCGATTTCATTTTTCCTCGTTCTGTATTTCGCATGTTAAGATCGCCATTATAGTGGATATTGTTTCTCATCCTATTTATTTCCTCGCTTCACTGGCGTGTGGCATGACATCAGATAAGTACATTCGTTCCAGATCCTACGTTAATAATGACTGACTGCATTCTGGATGTCCGTATATGGTTCAGTAACTGTCTAAAAGAATTTCTGTTTTCAACTAGAAAAAGTACTCAATGATGAGACAGACGAAGTAATACATTCACACGCTGTAAAAGGATTTTTGCAGTTGTTATTTTCCTAACAGTTGCGTTCGCAAATGTCCACACATAATTTTTCCTTCATGATATTTAAAAATGGTGTTTTGTTTGCTCCCGTCTGCATACGACATCGATTGTGTTTGTACTGCAAATTGTTGGTGGTGTGAAATTTGATATAGTGATTCCCGCATTCCTGCATGAAGACCCGTTCTCGGCCAACAAAATAAAGCATTTGGTAGTCACTAAGACATCTCTAAAATGATTTGGTCTCCTTAATGTCCGTCGATAGGACTGGAATTTAATTATTTTGACACTAGTAAGATAGCTGACTTTTTATTTTTATAAGTGGTACAACTTCACTTTGGGGTCACACGTTTTATTCCCTAAATATTAGCTGATCTTTCCCCATTAAATGATTAGATAACTTGCATAACTGATTACAAAATGTCCCGCTTCTTTATATTATGGTTTCTTTGTGGTAGGTTTAGAACTCATACTAAAGGTTTAAATATCAAATTAATAATCTAGATTTATCTTCTGTAACATCATTACTTCAGTTATTTTGCATCCATGAATACTTGTCTTTGTCTATTATGCTTTTAATTGGAATACTGAAAGATGACTGAGGGTTTGTTTAAAGCCCTGAGTCTGATTCCAGATTTCTTTGAGACTGTATATTAAATCGTCGTAACTGCTTTCAAACCTCGCAGATGTGGTCACAAAACTCAACTTTTAACTAAAGTTAAGGTTTTTAATATCCCATTGTTAATGTTCAGGATTGAAATTTGTGTTTTTGTAGGCACTCATGAATCCGAATAGGACGAAACATATGTTCTGCAATCCGTTGCTAGCCAAGATCCAAGAATACCAAGTTGCAAGTTCGAGCATTTAGGTTTATTTTGGTTTGAGCAACCGAAGAATATCACTAGCCAGCACTCATAAAGCATACTTCAGGTTCAAGTAAACGAACGTGTACTTAGCGGCTGTATTAAAAATGGTATTGATCTAACTTCTGATCACTTTTACGCAAACTGCCACTCTTATCTTAATAGCTTGGGGGTACATTAAAGATACCCACCATCAATCTGCGGAGGGTGAATAGGTCTTTAATTGGCATAAATCCCCTATCAAACACTTTATGCACTATCGAACTACTAACCTGATAATTGAGCGAGGTTTTCGTTGACAAAATAAATAATTTATTCATGAAGTCATATATTATCTGGAAATCTAGAATTTATAGATGTAGGTGCAGTAGGCGAAATCAAGTTGGCAGTAGCAAGATAAAACAAGGTTAGAAGTGATACTTCCGAGCTCTAAAAAAGTAGGATAGTGATCAAGAAACGACTCTGTTTGAAACCCACCTATTTACACAATCTACTAGTATCACGTACTCCCACACAATGAATGTTCATACTCATGTACACGAACATGTCCTTTGTTACCGAATTGTATTAAATTAAAAAATCACTATTATGGACTCCTAGCAAGTCAAAATAGTTATAGCGATTGTATATCGAAACCGTGTCGTGAATCACACCAAACTTGTGTTCTCAGTTATACAATATGTGGATGTTATCAGGGTTATAGATAAGTTGTATCATAGTTACACAACGCGAGAGGGAATCAGTGGAGTAAAACAACCTTTTCCAAGATGTGTTAACTGTGTATTACTCTGGCCTCAAGGATTTATGCACCTGAAATGAGGATATAATTCATGCACCTATCTACGTTCATCTAAAAGGTGATGTTTCATGCATCGTTAAAAAAAGTGTAGAAGGGAATGAATTTCACAAATTATCCTGAAATGATCTGACCTCGTTTCATTTTATAATAAAAGTTGTGGGTTGTTAGCAACCTGTGGAAATTTTAGTAAAAATATTAGTTTACTGACTCTGTTAATATCAACTGCTTTAGGTAACGTCGTTTTGATGGGCTCTGAGAACATCGGGTAGACAAATTACCTTCATAACAGCTGCATCATTCCTGTTGTCATTTAAATAATAGAGAAAGAACGTGAAATCAACCTACTAGGGCATTTTCGAAATAATAGCTGTCAATTTTAGTTTGGGGTTACAGTATATCAGTCTTTTTACTTATCTTGTTATACCCAATATATTCCACGTACGTTTTTTCAATTTTATTTTTACAGAATTTTAAACTATTGTTCATTACATGCCGGTACATGGGTGAAACTAAAGACCAGTCATATTTTTTAAAAGATCTGAAACCCAACATGAAACGTGTATCATGTGTTTTATAGTTTTGGAGCTGGGTTTGTTGCTTGTTTAAACTACAATTCATACTATGTCACAAGGTCCTATCACGCGTACAAAAGATGGCAATGAAGTTCGGACCGCGAAGGTCGCTGATCGCACAGGAACGATTAATATATCTGTTTGGAATGAGAATAGTTCATTAATTGCTCCATGTGATGTTTTACAGCTAGTTCAGGGTAACACTACTGTAAGGGGTGGCTGTTTAAATTTGAATGTCGGTCGTTATGGTCAGCTTATGAAAATTGGAGAGTAATTTTATGTAATTGTTATTCCATGAATTCCTTTTCAGATTTTGTTTTCCTTTTGTTGAGTCGCCTGATTTTAGCGCTTATAATGATGAATGGTTGGGAAAATCCGTAAGTACTATCATCTTGTTCGGTTAATCCATTTAATATACTTACAGGGCGACTCTAGTTCAACGAATAAATGTGAACCAACAAACAAACAATGAGATAACTCCAAATATATATATATATATGCTTTCACCAACTTGTTCTTTCATTCACTTTTGCTAGTGTGGTTGTGTGAATTGTCACTTTAGAGTTATTGATATCATAAGACTAATGATAACCGTCGCTTGACTTATCTTGGAAGTCTCATCAACCCTTGTGGTCTGGTGTGTGACGAAATCTCAGCACGGATACAGAAGGCTCGACTAGCTTTTGCCAACTTGCGTCATTTGTGGCGTAGGCAAGATATCCATCTACCAACCGAAGGACGTGTTTACTGCGCAGCAGTTTGTTCTGTCCTACTTTATGGAAGTGAAGCATGGCCTGTAAGAGTAGAGGATATTCGTAGGTTACTAGTATTCGATCACAGGTGTCTTCGAAGCATTGTTCGTATATCCTGGGACCATCGAGTAAGTAATGCAGTTGTTAGGAAACGGGAACTAGGTAAGGATGGCAAATCAATTGATGAAGTAGTGAAACTTCATCAGTTGAGATGGCTGGGACATGTGTTACGTATGACCAACCACCGACTGCCTCGACGTGCGATGTTCAATGGTATAGGAGTAGGTTGGAAGGAAGCTAGGGGCGGCCAAACCAAAACATGGCACAAGTCCATGAAGTCACTGACAAGTGGACTGATCCACGTTAGTAGGTGTAGACTACCTGGTTAGTATCAGCGAGATGATAGCAACCGATGGTTAGAGACCTTGAACGACATGGCTCAAAATTGTTTGCAATGGCGCAGGTGCATCCACTTTTTGTGTTCTCGCAAATTCTAATCTGAATTCTTCATGTCCCTTTTTTCTTCTTCCCAAATTTATTTCACTGGATTATACTCCTTGAATAACATCTTCAAACCCTAATCTTTCCGATTACTGGTATTACTTTTACTACCTCTACCACTATGAGATTTGAATCGACATCTGCATTTCTGTGCTAATGTGGTGTGGCAACTTTAACTGATGTACGTACGTACGAAGTTCTACGTTGTTACTGATCGAATGATAACCGTACTAAACATCAGGTGCTCGTTTGAAGTAACCAGGTTTTAAGGCTTTCCGAGGTCAGATGTATCATTATAGAGTAAAGTTATGAAATACTTCGATGGTTATCGCTTAAGGTGTCATACTGAATCCAGTGAAATAAATGAGGTTTTCATTTCTTTTATCCGCTTACACTTGTGGTGTATGCTATTTATGTCTTTCGACATAAGTAGTATGTAGCACCAATCCGAGTTTGAATGACTGTCAGAAGAGGGTTGAGAAGATTGGACTGAAAAAAAGAAAGAAATCTACTTCGGAGAATATTGTCACATTTTGTGAGAGGTATAGGTTATCATTTCGGTGTTTCTATAGATATTTTCTCTCTAAAAGCATTTCAATTAAGTGTTGCTAAGGTTTTTGACAATTCAAACTGTTATGCGTATTTATCTCCAGGTTAAATGTCAAAAGCACCAAAAGAAAAGGAAATTGGTACAACTCGCTTACAGCTTTTGGTTGACAAAATTACTACATCTGGTTCCAATAACGTTGATTGTTCACTCGTTGAAGAGACTATAAATATATGCAGGTAATCTTGATTAATGTATATCTAACGATCTCAATTTAAATGATGTTGTTTTACTATTACACTTATTAAATAAATCCTTTTTCGTTCATAATGTTAGGCTTATACAATTTTAACATCTTGTTTATCAAAAATATAAATGAGTAGTTTTCAGAACTTCACTTTGAATTATTTCAATCTATTTAGTTTGTGCTACACCTTGACGGTATCCCTGCTAACAAGATTTGGTTGGTAAAACTCCAGAGTAGAAATGTTACTGTTAATTTTCAGTAAGTTCCTAATGTGTATAATCACACAAGATCTATAGACTAAATAATAATTAACCATAATAATCCCAAAACTAAGTTGCGAATAACTTCAATAACGGTGATGTTTTAAGGTTTTGTATTCCTTAAAAAATCCAACTGTAGTCAATCTAGCAAAGGATTTTTCTAAGTCGGTATATTAACTTTCCAAATGCTAAGTTGGATCTAGAGCTTGGTAACTCATTCATAAATTTTCAAAAACCTCAAATTCCTTTCGATATACTTACACATTTTACTCTGTATCATCATCCTGTAGTTTTTTTTTACTTTTGGTAATTCATTCATCACATCTGAAAGAGACAAGCATTGCAGAATCACGAAATTACCTTATCATCCCTAAGCATGTAGGTCTGTAAATGCTTTTTTCTTATGAGTAAGCAATCATTATTTAAATCTGGTAACTATCTTGTTTGTGGTATTTGACCACAAATTTAATGTAATATTATATGAATACTGATTATTATATGTGCCTTGTGCTCAGATTTATTGCAATATTTTGAGTAAACCATATTTTCTCTATAGATCAGTGTGAATTAACAGTTAGTGTCTAAGAAAACTCAGTCTTCTGAAAACCATGGAGGACAATGTGGGAATGTTTTCGGTGGATTTCCAACAAATGCTCAACGTCGATACTTAACTAACGTTGACCACATATTTCGGAAGCTTCACCTGGAATAGTATCTTGGTAGCTGACACAGATAAGAGAGATTTGTCTAACTTGAATCACTCGTCGCACCAGAGAAATGTTCAGCTGTTTATTAACAAGTGAATCTATTATACGACGACTCTATCTTTTACACCAAAAGTTTGAGTTGTGATGCGTTTGTAGAAGAAATGTCTAGGTTACAAGAACATGGTTACTAGTATATTGCAAGCAATAGACTAAGCAGTGGACTCCAGTAACTGATATTGATCAGTCGTGTTACGCATTCATAACCACGTCTACCTTGATGATCTATACCGGTTAAAAGATAAGTGAACAACAAAACCTATAAGAATGGTCAAATCAAGGTATGCCATCCTTATTCCTCTATAATTCATGTATTATTTTGTAGCTTTCATTCTCTAGCCTTCCTTTCGTACTCTCGATACCAGTATCTCACCCTTTCAATCCTACTCTTATTAGTTTTGTGCTGTACTGATCATAAGTGCAGCAAGTTAATCTGATCCACATTCTATGCTATATATGTGTACCATACTCATATTTACAGACTTCTAAAATTACAGATAAATGCATGATAATATCATAAATATGCTAAGTTTACCCATCGCGATAAAAGGTCGAGATTCATGTGTGTGAGTGGCTAAAATCATACATATCTTTTTGTTATGGTCTTTGATTATTTCATTCGAAAAGATTAATGTTTAGGTGATAAAAAATTATTATAGTAGTTTGAATAACCGACTTTATTTGCTTTCATTTTTTCCAGCGAGTCAAGTTCTACTGTTTCTGATTTATTTCGATTTGTTACTGTTCAACTACGCCGTAATCATGCTCAGATTCGACTTGGAGTGTTAAGATTACTTAGATTGTTATCTTCTCCCCAAGCGATCGTTCGTCAGTTAACCTTGAATATGAATGACGCGACCAAATTCATTCCTTTGGCGAAATGTCTTCGTAACTTGATTTTAGATAACTTACAGGTAAGCTAAAAGCAGCCAAACAGAAGTCCAGTTGTACCAATAAAAGATAGCATCGTAAAAATTTTACTCGGAAGGTATTTTAACCGGTTTTCGACATTCCGTCATATGTAGGTATTCTGTATTTCTCAAAACCAGTTGGTTTCCAAGTCAGACACTATGTGATTTGCTAAAGAATACTCCTCGTCATTTTTCCAACAAACTGTAGTACAGTTCACACGTAACAGCGTGTAAGGGAGAGCAGATGCAAACTTGCTCATAGTACTTCGGTCACATGTCCTGTAATGAGATCGTGCAAAGATTTCAAAGTTTCTGTATTTCTATGATTATTAATGTGTTCAGATTATAGTATACTTAAAAGAAATGGTCGGCGAATTAGTATTAAAGTTGAAGTAAAAAAACATGACATTTTACTCAATTTAAATGTTCAGGTTCCTTGCATTCATCATCTCTTTACATAAGTTTCTTGTGCTACATTACAATACCATAAAGAGTTTATTAAAAGCAAATAGTTAAACAAGTATGTTACAGACCTAAACTTTCCTGTACTTACCAACGTTCCTGCAACCAGTTAATATATATCAGCTTTCCTAGCCTGGTAACTAAGATAACCCACCAACAGTTCTTGTTAGGTCACCGGTTAACCAGGAGTGCCATGTAGTAATGAGAATAAACATATTTTTAACCAGGCAGATAACATCTTCCGTGAAATTTTTATGACTTCTCTGTGTGCGTCAAATATAAACAAATGGTGTGTCTGTGCATTCTGTTATTGAGAACGTCACCTATTTCATTAAATTTAATGCTACTCTGAATACCAAACCATATCAGTTTTGAATGTAACTATTAACAATGAGAACCATGTGCTTTCTAGTATTTTATTGATTAATAAAACCGATACCAAACTACATGAATCAATCGAATAATGTAGTATGTTTGTACTTTTCTGAACTGGGGTGAAAGTAAATTAATTTTTCTGTCAGTGAGACTGTATTATTTCTATTAATGAGCAATCTTGAAATGTTGTGAAACCTTCCATTAAATCTTATTGCAAGCACTTGCGACCGCTGTGTTGTCAAATGAAATACTTTATATTTTCATTTCATCGTGTCTAATTATACATAGGATCAATTGTTTAGATAAATGTCACTGGCATCTTTATGTTTGTCTAACATACTGATTACCTACTCATCTCTTATGATGTGCTTTTTTCGTAGGATACTTTTTCATATATTGTACAGTTAGAATCATATTCTGCGCCTATGCTTTTACCAAAAGAAGCCGCTAAAGAATTACAATTTGAAGGAATAAAACTTCTGCTTGATTGGGAGTATGAATTAGAACAAGGACATTTTGATGTTACTCCTTGGAATTTTGACCCATCCCCGCCCCTATCATGGGTGCCATCACAGAGAGCCAAAGGTCAATTGAAAGCATTTATAAATTTCCTCAATTTGGATAGTCGGCCCCTTGGTAACTTTGGTTCTGGATACTGTCCAACAAAACAACTAGTAAAAATATACAAGAACAACGTAAACAAAAGTCTCAATTGTTCAAGAGTGAAGTAATAAAATCTCATCGCCTTCTTAATGATTGCCTGAATGAAATCGAAGGTACATTTTCATGCGAAAAACAATAAATTGCATTTGAATAAATCTTATAGGTTCTAAATGAATGTTAGTAGCAAACATTATGTTTATCGTTGATACTATTTGGGTGGTTTAACCATCTGTTGATGTACTTTCTGAATGCATGAAACTCAGTCTAGACTAAAGTATCGATATATCTTAACATTATTTCCGTAGAACAGTGATATTTCATTTATCCTCATTTTTTGTATTGATAAAATAATTTTAATAGATCAGTATTGTTAGTTTACCAATACTACCATTCTATATATAATGGGAAATTATGTGAATTTGTATGGTTGATCCGGATTATCCGGAGAAATAACTTCTTTTATCAAATAATTCCCATGTGCCGTATAAACATAATCATGGCTTATCTCTCAAACTGTCCATATATTTCAGCCAAACAAGTATTTCATAGAACCGTTTTCTATACTTTCCCATAAATATATACACCTTTAATATTATCACTTAAAACACATCGACTATATTTGGATTTATGTACTGGGCGTAATTAGCCATACTACGTAACTCAAACTTGATACTGAACATCTAGCTACTGTAAAAAGAGGTTATTACAGAAAGCGGACATATACCTGTAAATTATATGCTGTCTACATGGGATATCTAGTATAACAACTTCGACCAATCGACATTTTAACCTGTATTTGACTAGCTGATTGACTGCAACATCCAGCTTGCTTTCAAACACCATTGGAAATTAGGTGAATAAAATTTTGTTATTTTCTGTGTCATCCTTTATTCACATGAATGTAAAACATTTGAATAAAAGATGACAAATAAAGGATCTCATTCTTATAACAAGCTCAATTTTCAAGGTTGTTTTCAAAGTTATTGAAACATATCCCGATGATCGCTGAAAAATTTATGCATTATTAGTTCTCATATATTCCTAAGAAAAAGTAGTTCTTAACATCTGAAGCCGTTAGTTCCAAGGTGTTGGTAAAATGACTAATCGAATCACCGTACTAGAGAATTGCTTTTAATTATGTTTAGTACGATATATATATCCATAGCATAAATTAACGCATTAAAATATGTGGCAGCCTATGAGGGGAAGGCGAAGATCAATACTAAAAATGCAAGCTGTCAGGTCACATATCAATCTTGACAGATAAAACGAATCCAAATTGCAAAACAAACGGCTTCCGTGAAATTACATTCCTTGAATGTATCATTTTTTCTTACCATATAAGTTTATTGATTATATAGTTTTCTTCTATACCAATCCAGAATGTAGCGAATCGGTTGAAGAAAATTTAGTCTCTTTGTCAACTATATTAGAAATACTGGTTCCCAATCCAACGTCTGAGTCTAGTGAAATTGATAAAACGGAAATAATCGAAAATCAATCAGAGACTGACCATAAGTCCATGACAACCATGAACTCATTTGATTCTTTACGTTTGCATGGATGTCTTCCTGGAAGTTCAAGTGGTTTCGGTTTGGGCTCTACACTTACGATTGAAATTCAATTGCCTTGTAATAGTCAAGTTAATTCATCTAGAGCTTCATTTGAACCAAAAATCTATATTAAACGTTCGACAGAAACAAAAGAATTAGAAGAGTCAGCTACAACTTTCGCTCGTTTAGCAGCAGAAAAACATAGACCTAAACTTACGGATTACTTGCAAGTGAGTTTGATCGAATAAATCGCCATTAACGTATTATTTTAAAAAAAAATATCGAACGTTAATATTTGTTTCTTTTTACAATACATTCGCTGTTGTAAACAAAAACGTGTACATAATTCTCATTATTAACAAAAGCCTACTGCACGGGAACAAATGAAATAGGTGGAGTTAATGATAAGAATAGGTGAATATCAGTAATCAATCAAAGAATTGAATGTGATCAAGGTGTTTGAGTGTGTTGCTCAAGGTGTGTGTAAATGTTTGGCACTTCCTAATTACCTACCCTGTAAAAGAACACTTCTTAAAGATACTACACAGAAATCTTATTTAGGTGGACGTCTTATTGACCTACTAGCACGACCCTAAAGCTTAGGAAACTTCCATTTGGAACTGGTCATACATAAGTTTTGTGAATAGTTTTCAACGTATTAGCTTTAGACTCTTCAGACCACGTCGACACTGTTCTTTCTGAATTCCAAGGAAGATGAAAGTCCGATTAACTGATCAGGTGCCAAATCTGATACGAATTTGTGGAACCTATACCAGATATCCCACACCTCTGGTCAAGGTAAGATAGTTTCTCAGACTTTTAATCTACAACGTAGTAGTTAAACGTTTAGACTAATGAATTACGACTACACAACTCAGTAATTGACAATGTTGAGATGTGAGGAGGACTTAATTATTTAGTCTCAAATTTTTACTTTGAAAATATAGATTTTGTTGTATAGAATTCTAATAGTATAGACCCTTCATCCAGGTTCATGAATTCATGTTTCTTGATTTTCTGGCTGGCGATTCGCTTGTGTTCACGTAATTTTCGTTTTCGCCTATCGTTCGTTTTAGTATTATTATTTTTCCGTTTCTAGTGAATCTTCCTTGACTGTTTTTGTGTCAATGAATTTTAGCAAATGCATAGTTCAAATTTAGAGGTAACCTTGATACTACATTCTTAATCTTGAGTTTAAGTCGACTAGCTACGAAACTTTATATTTGTTTAGATCCAAACAGTCTCATTTCCTGTATGAGGATTCTAATATTTCTGATACAGAAAAATGTATTTTGACAATTAAACATAGCTTTTATACTCAATAATCTTCCCATAATTGGGTCATTTGTGTTAGATTTTCAATCCTACTCTGTATTTCATATCAAAAAACTTCATTGTGTTAAGATTCTTTACGACCCTGTCTACCTGCAAATCCCATACATATATATTTATTTCAGACTTTGGAAAGTACTCACTCAATGAATTTTGCTGCAAAACTTTCTTCTAAACGAAATGAAAAAATCGAAATTCTTAAACAGTGGATTAGTCGAATTCAAACCCTGACATCTTTATTCTATGATCGAATCGAATTCATCGATAGCGAACCAATCCATCGCGTAAATAATCCTGCCCGTGAGTACGTCTCAATGTTATCTATAAAATGATGCGTAGATATTCATGAAATACTTACCTCATTGTTTAGTATATGTGGCTTTCATTACATTTTTCTTACTGAAGTTTCTTCACAGAACCCTATTCTTTAGATTTAGATTCTTACCATCATTGAAAATACTTAATACTTAATTTCTTCTTACCATGCTCATATGGTTCATATCCGTCAACTGTCAATAGGGATATCGTATTCTTACTATTCTACTACTTTCTTTCTTTCCTATATAGATATAACTGGAAGTGTGTTTGTTGAGCTGAAATCTATAAATTTTTATTTAGTTGCTTTACGACAATTTGCAAAAACAAAGGTTACTTATGTACAATCGTATATATATGAAAATTTTGTTTTTGTAAAAGTACTAATACCGTGAGGAAATGTGAACACAGTTAATAAAAAAAGGGTTATAATACTAGATTACGTAATATGAATAATAACAATAACAATAGATTTAGTGAATACAATAAGATGATTAAAATGTTTTTGTTATAATAATTAAAGGTCATAGAGGTGTAAAAATAAATAAGGTGATATGGTGAGTATTCACGAGTAAAACAATGAGAATATAAGACATAAGTAAAGGGGAGAATGCAGTAATAATAATAATGATAATAATAATAATAATAGCAATAGTAATAGTAATAGTAATAATAATAATAATTGGATAATCAAAATGCTTAAGGCCAAGGTAACGATAACGATGAGACGTACTTCTTTTGTACGCATAGTTCCGGTTTAAGCTCCTGAATGGTAAGAGCTTCGGCTATTTTTAAAAGTTGGATGTGAAGAAATCTGGGTAGATTTGAACGAATCATATAAACAACCTTAAATTCATTTTTTGGATCTGTGGAATGGTTACAGTCGATTATTATAATTATTATAACAAAAACATTTTAATCATCTTATTGTATTCACTAAATCTATTGTTATTGTTATTATTCATATTACGTAATATAGTATTATAACCTTTTTACTAACTGTGTTCACATTTCCTCACGGAATTAGTACTTAAAAAAATTTTTTCATAAAGGTTACTTACTCTGAGCTCCTAAACAAACTGAAATTGCGACAAAACATTTCATATAACTTCGATTACCATAATGTTAAGATCTAGGGCTTCTCAGTAACAAGAAGATATTATCCATTTAAACAAATAACCATTGGTACAAAAGGGCACGAAAAACATATGCACCACACAATAACAATGAGAATGTGAAGTGCGTATAAGAATAAGAAAAAACAACAACGAACAGAAATTAGTGTATGAGAGTGATATAATAATAATGGGAGAGGCAGTTCAGATAACGAAGGTACAACTAGAAAGAATTGTTCCAGTTAAACAAGTTACGTTCACTTTTATGAAGAAAGTGAAAGTTACAACAGGATCACCAGTGGCGTCTATTCTCAGTCATATCTAATAGTTTCAAGACACTGTTCCACCATCTCTTGGACCTCAACCAGGCAGTCGTGATGGACCATCCCGACCGTAACTGCTACCTTGACACGGTGGTCGGGCTTGCCTATCGTGATGACCCAACCGAGCTATATTGGCTGGAACATATGTTCCTGTAGGTTCTACCATGCCAGGCAGGTCGATTGGAGAACGGTAAGACTAAAAGCAGCAACTCAAGGTCTGAGGGCGAAGTCGTACTGCTGACTGTAGAGGAATGTGACAGCAGTAAGGTGTTTCCCTCGGACAACCAGCATCTGCAGCGATGCTGCCTTCTCACAACGAAGGAAGGGGTTAGAAAAGGTCGACCCTAAAAATGTCACACCTCACCTTACCTCACGGATTTCCGTCTCCGGCGGTAAGGCCCTTTGAAGAACGGAGCTAACACGTCAAAAACCTTCCACAAAAGGCCGTGCGCGACCGGCCTCAAGCAGTTGTCCCTTGGGCTCTGCGGTCACGCTCCCAGGTCGTCAAGACCAACACTAATCCAATTTCCTTTTCAGGTTCCTCAAGAAATACCCTTCCACGGTGTGGGCAGCCGGGAAGTGACATCAGCCCTCATACCCGTAACAGCACACGAGACCAAGTTGGTCACATTCAAATCCTTCCTACACCTCCTAATACCTCTCTTATCTCCATGACTAACCCTCCTCACGTCTCTTTATCACCTCGCACCGCTAGGGCAAACGATTCGAGTACGTGGAACGCCATTCCTGGTCTCCTGAAACCACGCTCTAAACTACACGTAGGAGCTTTTAACGTCCGAACACTGGCTAGGACTTTAGAATCTCGCGCCATCGATGTGTGCTGCGTCTCCGAAACGCGCATACAGGATCCGAGTAGCGTCATTCATTTGACCTCACCATGCCAAAATAAAGAACCGACTCGATTCACGCTTCGTGTATCTGGAAGCCCTGATTCTGCTTCCCGTGGCCTCGCCGGCGTAGGTATAGCATTGAGTCCTAGGGCAGAACTAGCTCTCTTAGAGTGGATCCCAGTAGACAGTCGTTTGTGCGCTGTCCGACTGAACGGAACAGTAAGAATCCGGAAAGATAGGGACACTCGTCGTTGCCTCTTCGTCGTCTCTGCCTATTCTCCCACTGACTGCAGCTCAGATGATGTAAAAGATGAGTTTTACAGAAAGCTTTCGGACCTTCTCCGAAAAGCTAGCGCTCGGATGTAGTAATAGTGGCCGGTGACTTTAATGCTCAAGTAGGTAAACTAAGCGATAGGGAAAGACACCTAGGTGGATCTTATGGTGTCGTGGCTCAAAGAACAGATAATGGCGACCGTCTGTTGCAGCTATGCTCAGATAACCGCCTGTTCCTTGCAAATACTAACTTTAAGCATAAGGAAAAACATCTTTTAACATGGCGACCCCCTAATTCGTCCCAACGTTGGACCCAAATAGATCACATCGCTATCAGCCACCGATGGAGGGGCTCGATAGAAGACTGTCGCTCATTCTGGAGCACATGCCTAGATTCAGATCATGCTCTAGTGCGAGCGCGTATTTGCTTGCGTCTTACTGGACGTAGGAAAGACGCTGCAAGGAAACCTCTTAGGGCCTACTTAATGATAGTCAAGCTAAGAGTATATTTCAGGAACAACTAGGAAAACAGTTAGGCAGCCATGTATGTGATGCCCACCCCGATGCAGCATGGAATGATATCCGAAAAGCTGTGGAAACAGCAGTGATATCTGCTAGTAAGGTAAACCGAAAGGTTAGGGAGCAACACTGGATCTCAGCAGCATCTATCGCACTGATAGATGCTCGGAAACTCATTCCACCTGGCTCTGAACATAATGAAGAGCGGAGTCAGCTTAAGCGCAAGCTGACAAGAAGTCTACGCAATGATCGCGAACAGTGGTGGGTAGCGAAAGCAAGAGAGATGGAAAAGGCAGCGGCAATAGGTAATAGCAGACAATTGTTCAGACTCGTTAAGGAAACCGGAATTAGGAACCCGACCGTTAGCGAAACAATCTCAGAGAAAGATGGACATATTATACATTCTCAATCCAGGAGATTGGATCGATGGGCAGAACACTTTAGGGATCAGTTCAACTGGCCTTCAGCCACACTTCGGTTTCCCACGATCTCCAGTCAACCTGAATGGCAAGTTAATGTAGGTCCTCCGCTCTTTACGAAGTTGAAAAAGCCATAGGAAATCTGAAACGAGGGAGAGCAGCAGGCCCTGACAGGTTTACTCCTGAGATTTTTAAGGATGGTGGTCCAGTATTAGCAATGAGATTAACTGAGGTCTTAGGTAGAATTTGGGAACTGGACGTAATCCCATCTGACTGGTCTCAATCACTGATTGTGCCAGTCTATAAGAAAGGACAAAAGTCCTCTTGTGACAATCACAGAGGAATCAGTTTGACTAATATAGTGTCTAAAATATTAGCTTCAATAATACTTCGACGCCTAACTAAAGCTCGTGAAGAGCAGACTAGAGAAAACCAGGCTGGTTTTCGACCTGGACGTGGTTGTATAGATCAGATATTCACACTACGTCAGGTTCTAGAACACAGACACACATTCAGACGCCCCACAATGGTAGTATTTCTCGACCTTAAGGCGGCATTCGACTCTGTTGATCGTGAGGTTCTATGGCAGTGTTTGTCACTGAAAGGAGTACCAAAGAAGTACATTAACCTTATAAAGGCTCTCTACTCGAACACAACTGGTAGAGTGAGAGCTTATGGCGAACTGTCATCAGAATTGATTACCTCAAGTGGTGTTCGTCAGGGCTGTCCACTCTCTCCATTCTTGTTCAACTTTGTCTTCGACGTACTTTTAGAGATAACACTCTCCTCATCTAAATTTCCAGGGGTTGAACTTCTACCGGGAGGTTCACTTGTTGACTTAGAATATGCTGATGACATAGTTTTATTTGGTGAAGACGCTGACAAAATGCAGAGTCTTCTGACCACTCTAAGCAACAATGCAAGCATGTTCGGGATGCGATTCTCCCCTCGAAATGCAAAATGTTGCTTCAGGATTGGGTTACATCGACACCCGAACTAGTGATAGGGAGTGAAGTAGTTGAGTGTGTCGACCGCTTCACTTATCTTGGAAGTCTCATCAGCCCTTGTGGTCTGGTGTGTGACGAAATCTCAGCACGGATACAGAAGGCTCGACTAGCTTTTGCCAACTTGCGTCATTTATGGCGTAGGCGAGATATCCGTCTATCAACCAAAGGACGTGTTTACTGCGCAGCAGTTCGTTCCGTCCTACTTTATGGCAGTGAAACATGGCCGGTAAGAGTAGAGGATATTCGTAGGTTACTAGTATTTGATCATAGGTGTCTTCGAAACATTGCTCGTATATCATGGGACCATCGAGTAAGTAATGCAGTTGTTAGGAAACGGGTACTAGGTAAGGATGGCAAATCAATTGATGAAGTAGTGAAACTTCATCAGTTGAGATGGCTGGGACACGTGTTACGTATGCCCAACGACCGACTGCCTCGACGTGCTATGTTCAGTGGTATAGGAGTAGGTTGGAAGAAAGCTAGGGGCGGCCAAACCAAAACATGGCACAAGTCCATGAAGTCACTGACAAGTGACTGAGTCATGTTGGTAGGTGTAGACTACCTGGTTGGGGACCGCGAGATGATAGCAACCGATGGTTAGAGACCCTGAATGACATGGCTCAAAATCGTTTGCAATGGCGCAGGTGCATCCACTTTTTGTGTTCTCCCAAATTCTAATCTGAATTCTTCATGTCCCTTTTTTCCTCTTCCCAAATTTATTTCACTGGATTATACTCTTTGAATAACATCTTCAAACCCTAATCTTCCGATTACTGGTATTACTTTTACTACCTCTACCACTATGAGATTTGAATCGACATCTGCATCTCTGTGCTAATGTGGTGTGGCAACTCGAACTGATGTACGTACGTACGAAGTTCTACGTTGTTACTGACTGACGTGACAGATCGATAGAAGACGGTTCAGTACAGCTTTCTTTCATACCACAACACTACATTGTGCACTGACCACCTCCGCATTTTCCGACCGGTCCCGTCATCGGCAAATAATGCACGACGTAGAATTCGCTGTTGCGATATTCGTAGTACATGTCCGAGCCATCACGGTCGGTGTTTCAAGATGGTGATACCGGGTGAATTATCGTCACTGTACCCGCATACACGATGCTGAACCTCCTCATTACTCACATGGCGGTATCACTGGATGTTGGCAACCTGCCGGAGACAACAATGGTGATGAGTTGTCTAAGATTCTCAACAGATGCGTTGTAGATTCGATCTTTTACAGCCAGGCTAACATCACGAAGGTGCCAAAGATGGCCCAGATTGGCATAAACCGCTCTGGCTTTTAATATACATGAATTGATCTCATCACTCATGCCACCACCATGCAGCTACCCAGATACACGAACTTCTGGACTACTTCTATCTGCTCACTATCCAGGGTGAGTGCAGGATCAGGGGCCTACCAGTCCTGTAAAAGTACTTTACATTTCGAAGGTGCAAAGCATATGCCATACCAACGGACACTAATTGCCAACTGATTAAATGCGGATTGCATGGCTTGGGTATTATTGCACAGTAAGACAATATCATCGTCATATTCCAGGTCGATAAGTCTTTCTCCAGACAACAGGTCCACACCATCATTACCTCCATCCATCAGAACTGTTTCCAGAACGTCATCGATAGCAAAGTTGAAGAGAAATGGTAAGATTGGGAAACTCCGCCTAACCCCACTGCTTGAATGGAACAATGGAGAGAGGTGGTTGTATGCCCTCCCTCTGCCTGAGGTGTTTGTATATGGAGCACACCCTTCCTCAATAGACAGTCTCAGATGACAGTCCTGTCCAACGAATCGAGGGCGGGCCTAATGTCACTATGGTTGTTGGCTTGTGATGAGTATGACGGTGTTCTAACATTTGGAGGAGGGTGAAGATATGACCAATACATCCTCAACCAGAACAAAAACCAGTCTGCTCCTCACCAGTCAATCTTCCTAAGGTTTTGAACAATCTACGAAGTATGACAGAAACTAATAGTTTGGACGCAATCGGAAGTAGACCTATCTCCTGATAGTTGTTACAGAAACGACGTGAATTCTTCTTGAAGATAGGGGCAACTATCGACTCATTCCATGATGTTGGAACACACTCTCTCTCTAATTGCCAGACATTTGTCAACAACTCAGTCAGTTCCTTAACTATAAAGTCACCAACATCTTTAAAAAGGACCAGAGGTAGGTCATCTGAGCTTGGTGATTTGTGACACTTCAAGAGTCGGAGTTCCTTACAGATTTCCGCTTCGTCAGGTGGATCAGTCGCCACCTGCCATGGAGAGCAGGACAGTCTAATCGACGTCGCCGGGGCAGCAGACCAGTTAAACTGCTGCTCGAAAAACTCAGACTATCGTCCAAGATGTCGGTAGATGTTATCGATTGACATTCTGCCAGCTTGACAGATTGTTTCATACACCTGACTTCTTGCTGCCAGTGTCTCGGATGAGTTGAAAGAGCTTCAGGAAGTCACAAGATGCAGCTGCTGCTTCCAACTCGTTAGTACGCTCCGACCACCAAGCTTCTCGGTCCATACGCAAACTTCGCACAATTTCATTACACAATAATCTTCATTTATGGTCAAACTCACAGTCACTCGGAATAGACCGATGTGCGTCAACGGGTTGTAACGGTCCTGTAGAAATTCAGCGCTTATAAGTGGGGCATTTCGCGGAGCTGCAAGCGAATTTACTCGCCATTTTCATGGCGTCATGCAAATGCAACCAGTGCTCATCCAATTGATTAGTGCTGTCTCGGCTCTAGTGCTTAGTGAAACACCAACCCCAGCAAAGCCAGATAGAGATGCCACAGAGTCTCCGGATAAACGCACGTGAAACAAGCTTTCCGAAGAGACAGATAGAGAGAGAATTTATAGTACTTCACTACAGTCTTGAATAGACAACATACATCGATGTTGAGACTTTCTAAGGAAATAGTCAACCCTATCTGTTGTTCGATCTGCATCAGTGTGAGAACGTTGAAGGAAGCCAGTTTGAATGTCATACGTAGTTTCAGAAAGATTGTATCAGTATTCTTAGTCGGTGGTATCATTCAACTTTTGACCAGTCAGTGACTCGAAATCGTTTAGATGGGACAGGGTTTCCACCATAGGCGAGCTGCTATATAATTTGAAAAATAAAGGAATACATAAAATAAAATAAATGCGAGTTGACAAGTAACTCAATATAAACTAACAACGAATGGTACCGAATATTTGTGAGGATGAGGATCAAAGCAGGTATATGTTTTTCGAGTTGTATTTATGATTAATTTTGTGAGAGGGCTGGTATACTACTCATGTGTCTAAACCGAAGTAGGTGATTTTCTTTCGGGCCACTCCCTGATCGTTTAACTTGAAGATGTATTCTACGAGTCAGTGGAGCGACGTTACAATATGTGGTCTTCCCTTAGTCGGTCACCGGAAATATTATCATTCTTCATTTGTTTTCTCTGGATTCTGTCGACTATGGGGACCACTGATTTGGAATCACGGCTTTCTAACTCCTCTAGGTCAATCATCCGTACTCACCAACTCGGTTAAAGCGCTAAGTATCCAAGAAATACTGTGTAGTGAGGAATTTCTATATATATTATTGCATCTTGTGTAACCAGAAGTGTTAAAATCGAAACAGAACTGATATCACTTGAATAAAGTGGCAAAACACATAACAGATGAACATTTATTTCAGATGATTATACCAAGCACACTTATTTGTATATAGATTTACTTGCACTCCGAGAAAGTACTAATGAATAGACCTGACAAGAACATAAGTCACGGCCAAGCAACCTAATAAACAGATCCCGGCGATTACGAACGGAGATAGCAAACCCTCAGAATATCTACGCATACTTATTCTGACAAAATGGGAGAGATTTTATAAAAAAGATCAGTCGTGGGATCGTGAATCGATTCAGTGTGACATTCGTTAACTAATCATCAAAGTAAGTAAATCTTTATATATGTGAGTATATCCAGATATTATTCTGAAATTTAATATTTGGCCGTTACATTAATCTTTATCTGCCGTCAGTATTTGTCTTCTTCCTTGCATCGTGCGATATCAGTTCTGTTTCAGTTATAACACTAAACAAACTAAACAAAGTTCTGAAAATCATATGACCACTTTTATTTTGAAAGTTAAAGGTTGGTTAGCCAATTGTTCTAAGCATCGTATAGTAAATTATTAAATAAATTTTGGTTGATAATTTAGTTTCGTAGCTCTGTTGGTTGAGGTCTATATCATTAATTTGGCGACAGTAGTTCTAATCTGATTGTGCTTCAAGGTTTTTTCTATATGTTACGTTTATCAGCTGTCAGTAGTCAAGACAAGTGTAACCTTTTCCTGCTTTATTAAGATACATTCACACATAACTTTTATTATTACTATTATTATTATTATTATTATTAGGTCATTATTATTAAATTATTATTATTAATTATTATTATTATTAATGACCATTCTCGTCTATATGCATGCTGTATAGCAACTACTCCCGATTGTGTTAAAATATTTGCAGTTGTTTCGTTGTTTTTAAAAGGAAAACAGAAATCATAATATAAATTTTTTATAGCATTTTCATTCCTAATCATGTACATATTTTACAAAGTTTTGTTTGTGTTGTTTCTTAAAATCATCCCATCCATTGTTTCACCTTGATAGGTACTTCTATCTCTAGTGATGACAGTGATTTTGAAGAGGTAGTCAACACTACGTCAGATACTGGTAAATCACTATGTTATCCAAGTTCATTACACGAAAATTTATCATGCGGAAGAATAGAATCGATTAACACTAGAAGTCTGTCCGTTGTTAATAGTGATCCCAACCAACAAATAGTTCAGTTAACAAATGAAGATCAACCGAAGTAATTTTGCTAAAATATTAATTGATTTTTATGATTGGAAATATCCCCTTATATTATATTTTTTTAATATAAAGTATCAACTTGTTATTAATTCGTATGATATTATGATCTTGTTCCTTAAAATTCGTGCTTGCTTCTTCCATTTCTTTACTTTCATAATATCTGTAACGACAAAGCAGACGATTTATTGCTAATGAGTTGTACTCGATATGTCGGACGCCTTACAAGTGTATAGAACTTCAATGCTGAAAAGTATATAATATTCCATTCGATTGTTTTTCACTTAAATGATTGGTTGAATTAAGATACTGTTAGGTTGGAGCGGATATTTTGGAAAGGTAAACTTTTCAGAACTGGTATACGGTGAATTATGGTGTATATTTTTGGTGTGTAATTGCTGAATATTTGGTGTATGGTATTTTGATATTGTCCTTATTACAAACTAACCTACGCGGTATCGATGTATGTTTTACCGTTTTGAAAGTATCGTTAATCAGTTTTATAACTATTTCTCGGTTTTATATCATATGAATTTTGTACAAGCTGTAACTTCTTATTTATGGTGAGTTATGATCTTGTAGCTAATATATATATAGTTCCATAGGTTTTTGAATTCTAATAATAGAACGTAGATCGGCTTGCTGTTATTGTGTTCTGACTGGATACTGGGATCCGGAAAAACTACTTTGGATCAATAGGAACTAGGATTTTTAGTCATTGTGAGCGGTCAGTTTTCTTATTGATTAAATAGGTCATTGATGTGATTGACTTAAGCGAACTCTAATAAGTTTGTGTATATGCAAATGACTTTACATAATAATAATGCTAATTCATTTATTCAATCTTCGCTCCGTATGTAAATTTTAAATTTTACGTCAAGGTTTCATGTTATGTAATATGTTCTAACTCCAACTTTCCGTTTAATGAAAAAAAATAAAATTTTTCCTGGTTTATATTATGTGATATCTTATATTCGTTTGATCAATAAACTATTTAGTGTACACCAATGAGAATAATTGATACTGGATGTATTTATAGGTTACCAAGCTTCACAAAACCTATGTTTAATAATAATTCGTATTACTGAATAAAGTGAATAATGAATATACACTATTCTTTGTTTCCACAGTCGATTGTATTGTGAACGATGGATTAAAGTCTTTTTCACTAAACAAAATTTTAAAGTAACCAGACTCTAATTAAATAGTAATAATCTCGATTGAGGCAAAAGCAAACAACCAGTAATGTTCGCAGTTTCAAATTAAACTCAATTAGTGATAAACGTTTATTTAGTTAATGTTGTGCATCCACTAGTGGCACATTGGTTTATTTCTGAGTGATTTTTATTTTAATACCCCTCCTTCTTTTAAATTTTGTAACCCATTGAATCGATAAAACCATTCAGGGTGATCACGTGCACACTAATGCACAGAAAGCATCTATTTAAAAATATTACCAACCGACAATTCAAACATCTTACGTTTATAATGTCAGAACTTTACATTTGATTCGCGTATTAATTATCTTTTATTAGTTAGTTTAGAGTGTGGTAAACTGTAAACCTTTTATCAAATGATCAGCAGGTTAAGGAAACCCTGAGGATTTCGATATTGTTGCCACCAATTCTTAAATTTCACTGGGTATATCGTTCAGAAGATACATAGTTTATAATTTGTTTGTTTCAATTAACTGTGTTCAGCGGAAGACTAAGTTTCCGAACGAAATTGTTTCTTTAAGAAAATCCAAGTATTTATAATATTTAAGTTATTGATAATATCATGACCGAAGCGTTTATAAATCTGTTCTAATTCTTATGGCTTTGTTGTATTTATCGTGTGGTTGAGTAACGACAGTGTAGTTTAACCCTGATCAAATAGTTCTACTTTTAGGTTGATGCAGAGTACTAGTGCCTTACTGACAAAATGCTTATATACTGATATGACGGGAAGAAAAGTCAGAATTAGATTGATTTACTCATTATGATTTTTATTCAACATTAATTCCGTTTTAATTCAATGTAACGATTATTCAGTATAGTATTTGTTTCTATTTTCCCATATGACATTTTATTCTGTATAATATACAATGTTCTTGTATTCTAATGCACATGAACTATTCTCAGCATATGATTTGTTATAACTCTGGGTATTTTTTATATATGTGATTTTATTCTAATTACTAATCAAAAATAGGTATATGAATCAATATATAAATGAGTGTATTTTCGCCTAGGGTCGTCTCGATTGTTCGTGCTTCTGGCTTGTTATGGAATATATTTCCCTCTTCTGAACTTGTACTTCTCTCTCTAGTTATCTGGTCTGGGACGCGTCGGAGTAGCTAGCATATCTGTCATTGTAATACAAAGTCTTTATTCAGTTCACAGATTAGGTGAATCCGTAATCTCTTTAAACACAGCATATACAGATATAAATGCTTTTGATTTGTATCATACTGTCAGTCGGATCTGTCTAAAACATTTGGAGCATTCGTAGCAGTGAATGCACACTACGAGTTTACAGTATATGTATTACTTACTTACCCATTGTAGAGAAGCGTAGGCTTCCCACCAGGATTCTCCATCGAACTCTGTCCTAGGCACAATCCCTTCCAGCTGCTATTCATCCTTTTGATGTCTGCTTCCAATTCTCGACGCCGTGTGTTCTTTGGTCTTCCTCACTTTCGTTTCCCTTCAGGACTCCAAGTTAGCGCTTGCTTCGTGATGCAATTTGGTGATTTCCGTAATGTATGTTCTATTCACTTCCAGCGTCTTTTCCTAATTTCCTCTTCAGATGGAACCCGGTTTGTTCTCTCCCACAGTATGCTATTGCTAATAGTATCCGGTCAACGGACACTGAGTATCTTACGTAGACAACTGTTTATAAATACTTGCATCTTTTTGATGATGGTTGTAGTAGTTCTCGAGATTTCAGCTTCGTACAATAGAACTGATTGGGGGTTCGTATTGAAGATTCTGACTTTGATGTTGGTTGACTGTTGTTTTGAGTTTCATATGTTCTCAAATCGAGAGAATGCTGTCTTTGTTTTGCCAACCCGTACTTCCACATCTGTACCAGATCCTCCTTGTTTATTAATGATGCTGCCCGAACACTTGAAAGGTTCCATCCCTTCCAGAGCTTCTCCATCAAGTGTGATTGTGTTGATGCTTATCGTGTTGTATTTGGGGATCTTGGTTTATTACTTGTGTGTGTTGAGGTCTATTGATGCAGACGCTTCTACCACACTGGTTGTCTTGACCTGCATTTGTACATGTGTATGAGATAGAAGAGCCAGATCATCTGTAAAGTCCAAATCGTCTAGTTCCATCTAAACTGTTCGTTATATTCCATGTTTCCCTTCAGATGTGGAGGTCTTCATAACCCATTCAACCACCAGAAGAAGGAAAACGTGGGAGAGTAAGCAGCCTTGTCTGACTCCGGTCTTCATTTCGAATGCGTCTGTCAGCTGTCTAGATCTCGACCCTAAATCTTACGGCTTTATTATGATTTAGATGTTTTATATTGGTAATGTTTAAACTATGTAGTATTTAGCTTGGTTTCGGAGTGCTTTCCACAAAGTTTTTGTGGAATTTTGATTTTTTTCATCAACAGAGTTATTTCTATCTACGTTCCTTAATCATCTGTATGGTATCATGAAATTGTTTTGAAATTTCTATCTTCTGCGTTTCAATAATAATTTTCTAGGTCTCGGAAAGATGGGACTGTTGTAACCGGTTCGACACAAAACTTTATTTCTTGTGATGTCACAGCAACCCTTATACTGCATCTTGGAGGGATAGCGAATCTGTTCACCGTTTTTGGAAACCTATTGATCCAGACGAATATAATAGACCAAAAGAGTATCTTGATTCAGCTGTTTCATGGTTTTCAACTAATGATACTCAATGTTGTCCTCCAAATATTCATTCCGAATCTGCAAACACATTTGAATTTACGGAAAATGAGATCAAAGACATTGACTTCACGGTATCTTTCTTGATTGACATAAATATGTATTTTATCATATTTACCTTATGTGTAGATTTCATGGAAATTTCGCTACATTATCACTGAACAATAACAGTAAATCCGTTTATAATTACTGGTCTTTAAGCCACCCTAACTTTATATTGATAACCATACTAGTCTGGCTTAAAACCCTTGACCTAATAGTTAGAATTTGAATACTTTTGAAAACCAAGTCATAGACCTGTAAATCGTTCACTAAAGAACTACCTTTTGTTTTTGTGTCTCATATGAACACGTGACCCCAAATTAAACCCGACTATTTTCATTAGCCTAGAAACAGTTAGTGAGAATTTACAAATCTCTATTGTTTTTCGGTGTATGCAATTGACTTTTTACCACTTAATTTCTGCTTTGAACTGCAGCTTGAGAAAAATTTCCACAATAAGCGCGACTTTAGGCCTCACTCACAAACTTTAATTTTGGTTTCAGTTTTAGAACTCAGTTAGTTCGTGATAGTGTAAGGCTTGGTGTTTAAAGGCACAGGTTGACCACATGGAAACTGCGGTAATTTTCTGTTGGCAATTCAGTCATCCAAATTTTAGTGCCTAGACAGTTGAAAAATAGAATATAGCCAGTGTTGGTAAATTAATTATCTGTGAGAATTACAAACCTAGTGTTTTGGAGGTTTTCTGTGATTTGATTTGATGAAACTTCCAATTGTCAAAATTAGTGAATAGAATGCTAATCCTTAGGTGGACCTAATAAAATAATGTGGGGGAGTGATGGCTACTCACTAGATCGGATAATTGATTTAGGTCTTCGAATGATTAGAGATCAAAGACGAGACGGATAACCATGCTTATATACAAAATATGAACGCAATATAAACATAATGAAATATGATAAGCGACTGGAGAAGTTAAGACTTAACTTTTAGGTCTAATCTCTGGGCATTGTATCACCCATCCGACAAATGGTTTATATGAATAAGCTGTATTACTAAATTTAATCAGCCTTATTGTATGCACTTCTTTACATCGAGCTGGATTTTGGTTTCTTGCTAACTAAATATTGTGCAGCTGTTCAAAGTACTTTAAATTAGGCTTCTGTGTAGATAAACTATGAGAAGGCTGTCTACTCAAACACCACTGGTCGATTCAAAGAGTATGACAGGCTTTTATCAGAGTTTTCAACCTCGAGTGGTGTTCGTCAAAGCTCCTCACTACCCCCTTTTCATTTAATTTCGTCATAGATGTTCTAGAAATCATCCTCTCTTCATCTAAATTAGTAAGAATTGCTTTCCTACTAGTAGGTTCCCTTATCTACTTAGAATATGCGGATGACGTGGTCTTATTTGTTGAAGACTCCGATGTACTGCAGTTTTTTGGACGCCTTGAGTAACAATGCAAGTATTTTTAGAGTGCATCTCTCTATATTTGAATGCGAAATTTTGCCTCGGGATCGGTGTGCATCTGCCTAAAGCGATCATAGGGAGCAAAGTAATTGATTATGTTGACCCCTTCACTTATCTTGAAGTCTCATTAGCCTCGGTGGGTTGGTGTCTGACATGTGTGTTGGGAAAATTAAGTGAGCAATGATGAGGTTAGGCAGAGTACACTGATATTAGTAAACTAAGTGGTGTTCATTTGATACTGCTTATGGAAGTAATTAGTATCTAGTATTGTTTATAAACAAAACTAGGAAATAACCTTTATTCTCTTAATAAATATAAAACTTTTTACATTCATAGGTATTGGTTATTTGAATCTTCTCATAGATGAACCCAGTAGCTAAGTAAATAGCTTTCCTCTTCCCATCCCATTATACACATTATGCTTCAGTTTCTAGCTTCATATCATATTGCCCATTGATTTGTTTTGTACAGATTGTTATCAGTTGTCAAAATATTTATTTATTTACATCAAAGTTTCCATCTTAACTTTCATAGTTGTAGTATACGAACATTTCTAATAGGCTCTATGCCAAAAAATCTCGAAAAAATTAATAGGGATCTTTTCATTAATAAAATAGTTTTTATTGGCAGTTAATTAGTTATCTGGTATTGAGAATATATTATTTAAATACTAACACTTAGTAAGTTACTTTTAATGGTTTTCATGTTTCAGACATGCTCTAAGAAACGAAAATATGATGTGATCCTTTCGACGAGACTTTTTAGTCTATTGTTTTTCAGAATTTCAGTTGACAACTCTGTGTAGAACAGGCGAAATTCGTCATTTTACTCACTCGATCAGTGATTTTACACGTTTACAAGAGTAGACAGAATAATACTTGTCCGATTATTTTTATAAACTTGATGTGATTAATACTTTGTTCTTGTTCAATTCATTAGATAATCTAATTTACTACTATTTGTGAATTTCGACCTCAGTAGCTCCTCGACAGCTGTTCTGTTGGGCTCCCTTGTTATCTGGTTCATTATGCCATCGATGTGATCCAAGCGGTCGATGTCCTATACATGGCAGAATTGTTAAACGTGACAAAATAACTGGGAGACCGATTAATATGAATGACCGAAAACTTCTCCAAACAGAAATGGAATCTAAGAGATTAGCTAGACAAAAAAGTGAGTTTTCTTGTTTAATGGTGTAATTTCACACGAATTTTCTTCGTTATATAAATTCATAAGTTGAAGGCTGCTCTTTGAAAAATGTAGATTTTTTAACATCGATATCAATCTGCTCTCTTCGTTGTTTTGACCACATATAAAGTCGTTATTCACAAAAAAAAATAGAGTTTTCAGTGAAATATTACTAATTGTTCTTGAAATAATAAGCTATGTGATCTAATTTTGTACATGTTAACATGAATTTAACAAAGTGGTCCCTGCACAGCAGCTCGCATATGGTCGAAACCCTGTTCTACCCAAGTTAAACGATCAGGGAGTGGCCCGAAAGAAAATCACCTACTTCGGTTTAGACACATGAGTAGTATACCAGCCCTCTCACAAAATTAATCATAAATACAACTCGAAAAACATATACCTGCTTTGATCCTCATCCTCACAAATATTCGGTACCATTCGTTGTTAGTTTATATTGAGTTACTTGTCAACTCGCATTTATTTTATTTTATGTATTCCTTTATTTTTCAAATTATATAGCAGCTCGCCTATGGTGGAAACCCTGTCCCATCTAAACGATTTCGAGTCACTGACTGGTCAAAAGTTGAATGATACCACCGACTAAGAATACTGATACAATCTTTCTGAAACTACGTATGACATTCAAACTGGCTTCCTTCAACGTTCTCACACTGATGCAGATCGAACAACAGATAGGGTTGACTATTTCCTTAGAAAGTCTCAACATCGATGTATGTTGTCTATTCAAGACTGTAGTGAAGTACTATAAATTCTCTCTCTATCTGTCTCTTCGGAAAGCTTGTTTCACGTGCGTTTATCCGGAGACTCTGTGGCATCTCTATCTGGCTTTGCTGGGGTTGGTGTTTCACTAAGCACTAGAGCCGAGACAGCACTAATCAATTGGATGAGCACTGGTTGCATTTGCATGACGCCATGAAAATGGCGAGTAAATTCGCTTGCAGCTCCGCGAAATGCCCCACTTATAAGCGCTGAATTTCTACAGGACCGTTACAACCCGTTGACGCACATCGGTCTATTCCGAGTGACTGTGAGTTTGACCATAAATGAAGATTATTGTGTAATGAAATTGTGCGAAGTTTGCGTATGGACCGAGAAGCTTGGTGGTCGGAGCGTACTAACGAGTTGGAAGCAGCAGCTGCATCTTGTGACTTCCTGAAGCTCTTTCAACTCATCCGAGACACTGGCAGCAAGAAGTCAGGTGTATGAAACAATCTGTCAAGCTGGCAGAATGTCAATCGATAACATCTACCGACATCTTGGACGATAGTCTGAGTTTTTCGAGCAGCAGTTTAACTGGTCTGCTGCCCCGGCGACGTCGATTAGACTGTCCTGCTCTCCATGGCAGGTGGCGACTGATCCACCTGACGAAGCGGAAATCTGTAAGGAACTCCGACTCTTGAAGTGTCACAAATCACCAAGCTCAGATGACCTACCTCTGGTCCTTTTTAAAGATGTTGGTGACTTTATAGTTAAGGAACTGACTGAGTTGTTGACAAATGTCTGGCAATTAGAGAGAGAGTGTGTTCCAACATCATGGAATGAGTCGATAGTTGCCCCTATCTTCAAGAAGAATTCACGTCGTTTCTGTAACAACTATCAGGAGATAGGTCTACTTCCGATTGCGTCCAAACTATTAGTTTCTGTCATACTTCGTAGATTGTTCAAAACCTTAGGAAGATTGACTGGTGAGGAGCAGACTGGTTTTTGTTCTGGTTGAGGATGTATTGGTCATATCTTCACCCTCCTCCAAATGTTAGAACACCGTCATACTCATCACAAGCCAACAACCATAGTGACATTAGGCCCGCCCTCGATTCGTTGGACAGGACTGTCATCTGAGACTGTCTATTGAGGAAGGGTGTGCTCCATATACAAACACCTCAGGCAGAGGGAGGGCATACAACCACCTCTCTCCATTGTTCCATTCAAGCAGTGGGGTTAGGCGGAGTTTCCCAATCTTACCATTTCTCTTCAACTTTGCTATCGATGACGTTCTGGAAACAGTTCTGATGGATGGAGGTAATGATGGTGTGGACCTGTTGTCTGGAGAAAGACTTATCGACCTGGAATATGACGATGATATTGTCTTACTGTGCAATAATACCCAAGCCATGCAATCCGCATTTAATCAGTTGGCAATTAGTGTCCGTTGGTATGGCATATGCTTTGCACCTTCGAAATGTAAAGTACTTTTACAGGACTGGTAGGCCCCTGATCCTGCACTCACCCTGGATAGTGAGCAGATAGAAGTAGTCCAGAAGTTCGTGTATCTGGGTAGCTGCATGGTGGTGGCATGAGTGATGAGATCAATTCATGTATATTAAAAGCCAGAGCGGTTTATGCCAATCTGGGCCATCTTTGGCACCTTCGTGATGTTAGCCTGGCTGTAAAAGATCGAATCTACAACGCATCTGTTGAGAATCTTAGACAACTCATCACCATTGTTGTCTCCGGCAGGTTGCCAACATCCAGTGATACCGCCATGTGAGTAATGAGGAGGTTCAGCATCGTGTATGCGGGTACAGTGACGATAATTCACCCGGTATCACCATCTTGAAACACCGACCGTGATGGCTCGGACATGTACTACGAATATCGCAACAGCGAATTCTACGTCGTGCATTATTTGCCGATGACGGGACCGGTCGGAAAATGCGGAGGTGGTCAGTGCACAATGTAGTGTTGTGGTATGAAAGAAAGCTGTACTGAATCGTCTTCACGACTGCCTGTTTGAGGTCCAAGAGATGGTGGAACAGTGTCTTGAAACTATTAGATATGACTGAGAATAGACGCCACTGGTGATCCTGTTGTAACTTTCACTTTCTTCATAAAAGTGAACGTAACTTGTTTAACTGGAACAATTCTTTCTAGTTGTACCTTCGTTATCTGAACTGCCTCTCCCATTATTATTATATCACTCTCATACACTAATTTCTGTTCGTTGTTGTTTTTTCTTATTCTTATACGCACTTCACATTCTCATTGTTATTGTGTGGTACATATGTTTTTCGTGCCCTTTTGTACCAATGGTTATTTGTTTAAATGGATAATATCTTCTTGTTCACAATATATTTTTCGCAAGTTTATTTCTATATATAGTATGTTTGATTTGCAAATGTTTAATCCATACTAAGGTCCAGTTTAACTGGTTTGATGTTACGTTACCTTATTTGTTGAAATTTAAATTTTATTTTATTGAATGTCGTTTGATTTTTTATGTTTAGTGGTCGACTGATTTGTTTCTAAATCAAAACTGGCTGAAAATTCCCATGTACTGTTCTAGTTCGTATTTTCTGCACACCCGACAATTGTATACGTGTAGACTACATCTATGAGTCAAACTAAAATTAAAGGTAGTCATGTCAAAACTAAAAATTTTTCTATGTACAATCACTGATAGAAATGAGGATGTGTTTTGCTAATTGAAAATATAATGATAAGTTCCCGTTCTTGTCTGAAAAATTTCCTAATTTTTATTGAATAAATACGTATAAATGAGTTCTTTTGCATCCGATTTCGTTCATTCCAGTAAACTTCCTTCTTCACTCTTAGTCTTTTTACTCAATAGCCGTCTTTAGTATAAGAAGTGTGTACATCAGTATCAGACTTGGGCACGACGTATCATTACAATTGCAACTTACTAAAATAGATCATAATTTTTAACGGCACTTTGTACAAAATAAATTTCCAATCAGCTGAGGGAATTTATTAAACAAAGAAGAACTGAATTGAACAACATTGTTTCCATACCATTGAGATTATTGTCTTTTTTGCGTTCAATTTCATATCACATCACAATTAATAAGGACGCTTATCGTACTTTTGTTATTGTTAAAGAAGATAATTAACTCCAGCTGCATTTTTTGTCTCTGGAGTCATTATAGAGTTTAAAGCATTGGTGGGTACTTTTATTGTTATTATAACTCCTCAGTTGTCAATGAAATTATTCATGTATATAATTTAGTTTTCCGGTCATTTTTACTCAGAACTAGATGAAGAAATTAAGAAAAAAGCTAGAAGACATTATCCTGGTCTTACTAATATATCAAAAAAGGAGGTAGGTGTCCGTGGGCGCCTGGAGGCACAAGTAATGAAAAAGTAAGTTTCCATTTATAATTTTTTAGTCCATGAAATTTTTATTAAAAATGACATAAATCAGGTACGAGACAAATCAATCTTTTTTTCTAGTTTTTTCCCCTCATTCCTCCACATTGGGGATTATTGGGTCAAGAGAATATTTCATTTTGGATATAAGGGTACCATTGCAATCTATGTTGTCTCATGGCATCTAGTCCATCGACTTCTTTTTTTCGTCTTTTTGATCCCTTAAGTAAATCGTTCAACCTGCAATAGAAATTAACTCTGTTGGAAAGTCCTATATTTCCCAAACATTTTAATGAAATCATCTAGAAACAGACTTTAATTATCCCTATCTTGAGCATTTAAACCACGTGCACAATGTTGAATCAGGACTTACGTGTCCTGCTACCTATTTGCCCAAATCTCAAGGAAACAAAATACCTGGACTCTTTTTCTGTATTAACGACGGTTAGAGAAGTAATAAACTTTCGACATTCTTTTGTCTTCTCGATAGTTGATAGCACAATACAAGTTCGGTTGAGGATTATTTTGCATTGTACGTAGCTAGTCATCGGGAGTCAAATCATTAGGTTGTATGGGGGAAATATCCTTAAAGCCACTATTTTAATACACCCTACTGTTTATCCACAAACCATGTTTTGCCAGCTAGTGATGTGTTCTCAGTTATTAGCTAAATGACTTGCATTAAAACTGAGCACAATCGGGATGGACACTAAGTCCCATAAATCTCCAACACCCTAGAAATTCCCTTCTTTTTTTCCTAGCCCGACCTGTTTTTTTATGAGTGCTGTAGTTCTCAGTATTAACGAGGATGTGTTTTGTTATCCGAAGCTAAATAGTCATATAGGTTCCGCTACAGCTCATAAAGCGTTAGAGGAGTAGGCTCTGTTGATGCCCAGGACGATGATGAAAGCCATGCAATCAAAACATTTAGCTTAGAAGATACAACTCCACTAAAAGATTAAGACCGTTCGTCAAACACAATTGTAGAATAAAAAGGGGATCCCGGAGCTGCCACCACCTTCAGTCGTGTTTCATTTGCGTTCACTAGAAAGCACTGTCCCTCTCGTCGATCAGTCAGTTACAACGTTGACTCTGGTACGTATTATACATATGTTCAAGTTACCATACCCCATTAGCACAGAGATGAGATTGTCAGACCAAATCCCAGAATGGTAGAGGTAGTAAGTAACAGCATGAATGGTGATAGAAAAGATCAGCAATCGAAGATACGATTCGAGAAGAAATCTTAATTGGTGAAATGAAAACAAAACCATTTGTAAGGGATTCGTTATTTCAGAATTTGGCAGAAAAACGAAGAGTGGATGCACCTGATGTTTCCACGGCTTTTTAGATATCCCAAACTACCTCGAGATGGATATCACTTTCGTGGTTGACTGGCTCCTGTTCTAGTTGTCCCTGAATTATGTTCTTAATCTTTTCTTTTTAATAAACGGAATACACCCATTATGACATTAAATAAGAAAGAAAGATTAGTTCAGCGAAGAGTTCTCTTTTCGGCGAATTCATTTTCAAAGCTGTACAATCGCAAATATATATACTTATTTTTACAGGGTGATAATAATACTGATAATAAACTTCTGTTATACATGGTGACAGTGAGGTTAAATAAACAAAGGTAAAAAAATTTCTAAACAAGGAAAGTTTAATAATCGTTTGATAGTTAATGGCTGAAGTATTCATTGGGTAAGGATGGCTCAGCATGATAAAATAAAATGTTGAAACAGAGATGAAATGTGATCGGAATGATCGTGGAAGTAAAAACAAACCGGTTGGGGTTAGAAGATTTGAAGGGAAGATGGAAGGTGAAGCAGGTGGCTGTGAGGGAACAAGAGTATGAGGAAAGAGAAAATCTTTTTATTACATTAAGACCATGGTAGAAGAAGAGGTTGTACCAGTCTCTTTTGTACACATAATTCTGGTTTTTCAAAATGTATGGCTATTGCCTCGGCAATGCAAAGAAGATGCAGTCTAATTGTCTTAGGAAGGCTTCTACTTACCTTGTAGATGACTTTGAACGCAGAGTCTGTCTTGATTGAGTGACCTGTGTTCACAAGGTGTTCGATTATAGAACTTCTTATTGAGCCGTTGCCTCCTCTTTTTAGCCACGCCGGACAATGTTCTTGAATAAAGTTCAAACATTAAGAGATCCGTGTGGTTTAGACACGCAAGAAGGGTTAGTCTCGAGAATTATTAAGAATGAGGTAAAGGATTTGATCGTGAACAAAACAATCTCGGGATGACGTCGGTTTTCATCTCCCGGTCACCCATATCGTGGAAAGATATTCCTTTTTTAGGGATCGGAAACGGAATCTGGGTTAGTGCTGGTCTCGGCGACCTGTCAGCATGACCTCGGAGTTGTAGACACAGCTGTCCCCTCACGCCCTTCACATAAGACGTTCTTGGTGTGTTAGCTCTGCATTTCAGAAGGCCGAACCAACGCTGGAATCAGAAACCCGTGTTTATGACATAAAGGTTCGACTTTTTCAAACCCCTTCTTTTCATTGTGAAGAGACATCACTGCAGATGCTGGTTGCCTGAGCGTAGCACAGTTCTCTTCATTCGACTGCCCCTCCGACATTCAGTTTGTTTTTAGTCTTAACTTATGACATTATAAGACCTAAAGAAAACTGAGTTCCAAGCAATATAGCTCGACTGCATCATCATTATTCGGCATCCTTATCTGGCTTTGCTGTCTCACTAAGCACTAGAGCTAAGGCATTACTGACCGACGGGATCCCAATTACCAGTCCGTTATGTGCTGTTAGACTAGAAAGTTCCATCAAATTACGAAGACGTCGGTGTGAGAAACAATGTCTTTTCGTCATCTCCACTTATACTCCGGCAGATTGTAGCCCGGATCCTATCAAGGATGCGTTTTATCACCAGTTAACTGTTCGTTTACAGGAAGTGAGTTTGACAGATATTGTAGTACTAGCCAGAGACTTAAATGCTTAGGTCGGGCGTCTAGGCACAGAAGCGAGTCGTTTAGGTGGTCGATGGGGGCTTGTTGGTCGCAGGTGAAGGAACAGTGACTGACTACTGCAACTTTGAGTAGACTACAACCTGTTTCTGGCTAACACTCACTGCCGGCGCAGTCATCGCCGACGTGCTAATTGGAGTCCTCTTTCTGCATCTCAAGCCTGGACTCAGGTTGACCACATCGCGATCGACTATCGCTGGCGTGGTTGTGTACAAGAATGTCGCTCATTTTGGAGTGCCTATCTTGATTCTGATCGTGCTCTTGTTTACACTAATCTTATCTTGTGTTTCATACGCTAACAAATTCATCGTTCCAAATGGATCGACGTCAGCAAATTGGTTGCGGCTTCTGTTGCAACTAAATATCAATGCTAGCTACCATCCCATGGAAAAGCATAGATGAGCACGTCGGTCCACACCGAGTGCCTGGCAGTTTTTTATAAAGCTTTCTTTACCTAAGTTCTTTTAGTGGGAAGAACCCTTACTGGTTTTATTTTCGTAACTATCATGTTTGTCATATTACTTTCCACACATTCATACAGTAATTTGGATTTGTTTTTGTTGTTATAGACAACTTCGTTTTTCTGTCTTCAATATCTGGTTTTCATTGTGACAATATTCATGTGTTCAAATAAATAAATGAAAATACTTATATTTTATATCACCGTGCTGTAGACATGATATCTTACCTAAATTCTGTTATACTTACAGGAAAGCATTACGGAAGCGTTCATGAATATTAAATTAATCGGACAGAAAAGTTGAATACGCACATTTTTCTGACAATTTTCATCATGCGTGTAAGGAATAATTTTCCTACCATAATTTCTCATTTTGTATATATTACTTATAAAACATAACAGTTCAAAATATGTTGAGTAGTTTTTAGTAGAAAATAGATGTACTCATACTACTAATTCTATTGATATTTCTTCAGCGTTTACACCATAAACACGACATTACTTTCTCACAACCTACACGTATCTTCTTGTCATACGTTAGTATTTGACGCATCTTCATGGAGTTTGTTCGCTATTTAGCAAGTCAATCTAAATATGGCATTTATTAAACAGCAGAAAAGCATTTAAAATACGTACTTGAGCACTGAACGTGTGGCTTTCACAAAACTGAATCATGTTGCCTACGGGGGGTGCAGTTTTGTGGAGCTGGAGTACTCTTGATTTAGCTACCAATAAAAATGCATCGTCAAATCACTGGACATATCAGATATTTTTGGTAACCTAAATAGGTTACTGGTTAACTAATATTAGCAAAACATTGTACTCAAAAAATACTTTAAATAGATTTTTGTTGTGAATAGAACCTTCAACAAGTTGCTACGTTTTCGCTTTCCAATGTTGTGTGTACAGACATAAAAATGAAGGCACTTTGTGAAACAAAAGACAAATTTCGGATTAAATTAAAAATAAAAAGTAGATAAGGAGTGAGGTTATAGGGTCACTATTATATCTTGTATAACATACTAGATAAAATATCGTGTTCAGTAATCAAGTTAGAAGATAATGAACTCTAGTCTAGATGTAGTGGTGGTGGTTGTTCTGGAATAATTGAGGAAATCAGAGCTGAAAAGAACTGATAAGAAAGATTTGCTGCCGAACGTAGATTTGTAGTTATCCTCGTAAATCTCGATTCTTGTTCACCACGTAGGCTAGCGTTTGCTTGATCTGTAGACTCCTGAGCAAGCTGGCTTTGCTGATTCTCCGATTGTTCACTTGCCTGTTGATAAAAAATCACATATGTTTTACAATATTGTGTTGAAGAATTGAAGTTATGACGCGTACATACACTAATACTTAAAAATCTATATCAGATAGTGAAATTTGGGAAAAACACTACCATGTGGTTTTTAAAATCAAATCGACTAAGAATTCGTTGAAACTAATGTGAATATTTTTGTTCGGTCAACAGAACAAATTCTTGGGTTTGGTATCGTAGAAGTTCTCTGGAGAGCTATTACAAATGATACTCGGTTTTCGTAGTCACTTCCTGACCAATTAGTGAAGACGATGCAAAAATCAAGCGGGATTTGCCATGAAAATAACGAAGCCTGACTACATTAGATCTAGGAAGCGGTCGTTTTTTAGACCTCAGCACCAATTTCCCGGATATAATGTTAGGGAAGTATCGTTACAGGACTTATTTAACTGAGGGCTGATAGGTTTTTTCCTGAACTTTTCTTATGTATGTAAGTAGATTTGTAGGACATTTGTAATCGCTTACAAGATGGCTGGAAAATTAGCGGGATGATATTTTGAGGCGTCACGCACAAAAATTGTGATATTTCAACATCAGCTCATCTGTTATTTAGTGAATTACTGGCAAAGCTATAATGGATTGATGTATTGGGTTATCCAATGCAGTACGGTAAAATAGGGTGTAGCTCGAGTGCCTAACACACATATATCATTAATCACACTATATGGATTACCATGGCCTTATAAGACGATACACATATGTCAAATTAACCAACGTAATGAGCTTTCAGGACTCACAATATTACTCGGAACTAAAGATGGTTACCATATTCTTGTTCTTTATTATATTTTGCGATCTTATCTGTGTAATCTGGGCGTTAGCTTTTGAGTAAAGTACTGTGGTGCTTCACTATACATTTGGAACAATCCCTATGAGAATTATGGCATTCTGATTGAAAGTATGTTAAGTCAAGTCCAATTCATTTTGTTAAATTTAACAGTGAACTTTTGTTGTACAGCTGATTCACTTCTAATGACTTTGACATACATCCAAGTAGTAGCATCATTTCTTAAAGTTATCTGACTATACTTCTCTGCAATAGCTTGTTTGATTATTGCACGTCTCACCTAAATACGTATTATCTACTGAATAGAAGCTACCAATTATTCCAGTTGATGTGTTCGGTTATAGTGAACGAATCGTTGCCACTTGTTTGTCCCTCACAGCGTTGGCTGCTTTTTTTGCAATCTTGAATATAGATGTTTCTGATTTAATTTATTCTCCCGAAAATATAAAGATGTAGACAGTTTACCGAATCAACAATATTAAAAGTAACAATAGTAATAGTGCAACATGAAATTTTCAGCATACTTACTGGAGTGTTTAAATTGGTTTGTGTACCTTGCGGATTTTGTTGTGGTCGTCGTTGAGCCTGTACTATACGCTCTACAACAGCGTATCTGCGGTAGATATTATACCTAGGATTAGAATATTTTTGAAATTATGCAAATAATAATTTAAACAGGATATTTTGATGCTTTACATGCTTTGTTATCTGTTGTCGATTGGAAAACGGTTTCTTGGCATCCACTGATCTAACCAGATAATTTAACCAATCAATTCATCCGACAATAAAAACTCCAACGATGAAAATAAACTCCAACCAAATTCGTTTAACGTCAATCCTTAAGGTTGTCTTACATCTCAAACGATCGGAATTAAAAACGATATACAGGACAAACACGAATACCGAATTAACCTGCATTCACAAAACAAATCCAATACTTAAGGTGATTGGCTGACCCACTTCAAAAATATACCAATCGAAACCGAACTTCGATGATTGGGATAATATAACATCAAGTGTATCATAAGCTTGATGATAATTAAGGAATATTTGATTTGGTACTAAACCATTTCTACGGCACTCGAGATATGACACGAAAAATAACAATGAAAGTTGCAGTAGAAATAGCATCAAATTGATAGCCACGTAACAAGACATTTTTAGTCTTTAGTAATCATACGCTAAAATACTACAGAAAAAACAGCTGCATTAATTAAAATAGAAAACAACTCACATTTATAAGGGCCAATAGTGATCCTTTGATTTTGTGATATGTCAAAAAACGTTACAGATTAAAACTTAGTCGCAAACTTGATGACAATAGATTCCAATTAGTAACTGCTAAAAGTATATACTACGAGTAATTACTGTTGGAACTATACTGGTTATGTAAATAGAGGCTAGTGAAATTTAAAATTTATCTAGTGCATGAATAAATCAATGTAAAAACCTAGAAATAAAGTGAATTAACATGCCATATGTCAAAGTTGACGATCATTACGTTATTTCACTTGTGGAAGTGTATAACCCAAGGATTTTCCTTAACTAAATTTTCACGGAGTAATATTCCAAAAGGAACACATTTTTAACAACTAGTTTCGGTATATTAACGAAGGCATCCGAAATATATACTAGTGTGATTTTGTGGAGCCTATCTTTTACAACCAGACTAGATTCGTGGAGCAATTTATGGGGACATTCTGTGGATTGGAAATACTGTAATTTAACGGCAAAAAAGTGCAATTTGTTGGTACGGATATATTTGGAACGTCATGAATATTTTAGACGCATTATAATGAACAAGCTGAGGACCATTTGAAGGTGTACTTTAGTAATGTTATATTTGCCTCGGCAAGTTTGCTTTGCTTACTAAAGAGATTTGTGAACGGTATTTTTATCACAGTACTCTTTTGAGAGCAGCCGGTTCATTCATTATTCATTACGCCTGTTACTCCCAATGGGGCATAGGCCGCCAACCAGCATTCTCCAACCCACTCTGTCCTGGGCCTTCTTTTCTAGTTCCATCCAATTCTTGTTCATTTTTCTCATGTCCATTTCCATTTCTCGGCGTAATGTGTTCTTTGGTCTTCCTCTTTTCCTTTGGCCTTCAGGATTCCATGTGAGGGCTTGTCTTGTGACGCAGTTGGGTGCTTTCTCTCCCACAGTACGTTGTTGCTAATAGTGTCCGGCCAACGGATCTGAAGTATTTTGCGTAGACAACTGTTAATAAACACCTGTATTTTCTGGATGATGGCTTTCGTAGTTCTCCAGGTTTCTGCCACATACAATAGAACTGTCTTGACATTTGTATTGAAAATCCTGGCCTTGGTGTTGGGTGACAGTTTCTTTGAGTTACAGATGTTCTTCAGTTGTAAATATGCTACTCTTGCTTTACCGATCCGCGCCTTCATATCTGCATCAGATCCACCGTGTTCATCAATGATGCTGCCCAGATATGTAAAGGTTTTTACATCTTCCAAATCTTCTCCGTCAATTTTGATTGGATTGGTGCATGCCGTGTTGTATCGGAGAATCCTGCTTTTCCCTTTGTGTATATTGAGACCTACTGCTGCTGAGGCTGCTGCCACACTGGTCGTCTTCTCCTGCATCTGTTGTTGCGTTTGGGATAGAAGGGCCAGATCATCTGCGAAGTCCAGATCGTCAAACTTCATCCTAGATGTCCATTGTATCCCGTGCTTCCCTTCAGACGTTGACATCTTCATGATCCAGTCGATCATCATGAGAAAGAGAGGGAGTAAGCAACCTTGCCTAACACCGGTCTTTGCTTCGAACGACCTTGTCAGCTATCCTCCATGCACGATTTTGCAGTGTAATCCATCATATGAACTCTGTATGATATTGACTATATTCTCAGGCACGCCATAGTGTCGAAGAAGCTTCCATAGTGTTTTCTGTCCACGCTATCAAATGCCTTTTCGTAGTCAATGAAGTTGATGTAGAGTGATAAATTCCATTCAATTGATTGTTCCACAATGATCCGTAGAGTTGCGATTTGGTCTGTACACGATCGATCCTTACGGAATCCACCCTGTCGGTCACGAAGTTGGGCGTCTACGCAGTCCTTCATCCTGTTTAACAATACCCTGTGTAGTGAACAAGAACACGGGTGGGGACAATCGATTGTATTTAGCACAAAGATTACAGACTATCTCAATAAAATGTGAATACCATAAAGTCAATCGTCAATTTGCAAAATATCATTCCATCATATCAAACTGTACTGTTCCCGTTGCAAACACTAATCCATTGTCACCCATTCCATTGTACATGCGTTTTCTTACAATTCCATTGTGCTCTTGCTCTTCCTTTCTTGATCTTCGCCATCTTCTGCTGCCGGACATTACGTTCTTTTAACGCACGTTATATACTACTTATATCAGTATAAGTAGCTCACACCACACTCGTCCCCCCGTTTAAAGCATTCGTTCTTGTGGTGGTTCATGCTCGCCGTGCAACATTCTCCGTCTCTGCAGTCTGTGCCACGCTCTCCGTCAAGATGTCGAGTCTGCGGCGCGCTGGCTTCCAGAGCTCTGTCGACCTGCCGGGGTAACAACAACCAACATCCATCCGGCACCTGGGACGCTTGACATCCGCACTCCACCGGCCTGCTGAGCCATCTACACCCGATGCCCGCCCAGCAGCCGCGCGTCCCGAAGCTCCACTCCGTCGACAGCACCCGCTACAGCCAACGCAGCCCCGCCAGGACACTTCACCAGACGCCACCTCTCCGCACCAGACTGCCCCAACTGGCACCTCAACTCCAGGCCCGCAACGGCGTCCGCAGAACAGCACTCTCCTCCTCTCCTGGGTGGCAGCGACACCAAATGTAGTGAACAAGAACACGGGTCGGGACAATCGATTGTATTTAGCACAAAGATTACAGACTATCTCAATAAAATGTGAATACCATAAAGTCAATCGTCAATTTGCAAAATATCATTCCATCATATCAAACTGTACTGTTCCCGTTGCAAACACTAATCCATTGTCACCCATTCCATTGTACATGCGTTTTCTTACAATTCCATTGTGCTCTTGCTCTTCCTTTCTTGATCTTCGCCATCTTCTGCTGCCGGACATTACGTTCTTTTAACGCACGTTATATACTACTTATATCAGTATAAGTAGCTCACACCACACCCTGTTGAAGACTTTTCCCGGTATTGAGAGAAGAGTGATGCCCCTGTAGTTATCACAGTTGCTGAGATCGCCTTTCTTCGGTATTTTGACCAGAAGTCCTTCTTTCCAGTCTTTTGGTACTTGTTCCTCATCCCAAATCTTATTGAAGAGAATGTGGAGTATCCTTGCAGTTGCCGCTACGTCTGCTTTTAGTGCCTCTGCTGGAATGTTGTCCGGTCCTGCTGCTTTGCCACTCTTGATTTGTCTGATGGCCATGCTGATTTCTTCAATTGTTGGTGGGCCAACATTGATTGGGAGGTCCGTGGGTGCTGCTTCGATGTTGGGTGGGTTCAGTGGAGCTGGTCGATTCAAGAGTTCTTTGAAGTGTTCTACCCACCTGTTTTGTTGCTCTTCAATGTTGGTGATTACCTCGCCTTCCTTGCTTTTCACTGGTCGTTCTGGTTTGCGGCGATTTCCAGAGAGTTTCTTTGTCGTGTCATACAATTGTCTCATGTTTCCTTCTCTTGCAGCCTTTTCCGCCGTCGTTGCTAAATCTTCCACATATTTACGTTTGTCGGTTCGGATGCTCCTCTTCACTTGTTTGTTTACTTCTGTGTATTCAGCTTGTGCCTTGGCTTTTTCTGCTCTTGTTCGACTGGTATTGATTGCTGCCTTCTTGTTCCTCCTTTCTTGAATCTTATCCAGTGTATCAACAGTGATCCATTCCTTGTGACCCAGGACCTCATGACATGTTGAAGTGATTGCCTCTTTGATCCCCTTCCAGTTGCTCTCCACAGTAGTTCCTTCTCCATTGAGTAGATCATGAAAGGCCTGGAACTTGTTGCTGAGGACTATCTTGAATTTGTTGAGTTTGTTAGTATCCTGAAGAAAGGCCGTATTGAACTTTTGTGATATTGTCCGCCCCGTTGTCCAGTGCTTCTTGAGTTTCAATTTCATCTTGGCGACCAGCAAGTGATGATCTGATGCTATATCAGCTCCTCTCTTGGTTCTCACGTCCTCCTGAACGTTTTGTTGATGCAAATATGGTCGATTTGGTTTTGCGTGGTGTGATCCGGTGAAGTCCATGTGGTTTTGTGTATGCGTTTATGTGGGAATATGGTGCCGCCTATGACCAGTTTATTGAAGGCACATAGATTTGCAAATCTCTCACCATTTTCGTTCTTTCTCCCAGTCCGTGTCGTCCCATGATGTCTTCATATCCAGTGTTGTCCGTTCCAACCTTGGCGTTGAAATCTCCCATCAGAATGGTCAGGTCCTTTGTTGGGCACTTCTCGACGATTGACTGCAGCCTATTGTAGAATTGATCTTTAGCGTCTTCATTGTAGTCGTTGGTAGGCGCATAGCATTGGATGATGTTCATTGAAATGCCCTCTTTCTTTGTTTTGAAGGAGGCTTTGATGATCCTTGGTCCATGAGATTCCCATCCTATAAGTGCATTTTGCGCTTGTTTGGACAGCATCAATGCAACTCCTTGTGTATGTGGTGCATTTTCTTCTTCATGGCCGGAGTATAACAGGAGCTCTCCTGTAGTTAGTCGTTGTTGTCCAACTTGTGTCCAATGTGTTTCACTGATCCCAAGTACCTCTAGGTTGTATCTTCTCATTTCTGCAGCAATTTGGAAGGCTCTCCGGTGTCCCACATTGTACGAACATTCCATGTACCTAAATAAATGGTCGCTCTGGTTGTCAGAAGGGGCATCGGCCTCGTAACTTCCGAAGGAATTCGGCTTTCATCATGAGGCGTCATAATTCTTCTAAATGAAGACCTTCTGACTCCCAGGGCAGAGTTTAAAAGGTTTGAATAATTTTTTCTGGTTAGCGTTTTTTTAGCGAGTTAGTTTTCTACGGGATGGGGACGCTAACCCCATGCCCAACCCTCCTCCTTTATCCGGGCTTGGGACCGACAGTAGCCCCCGGAGGGACTCCAGGAGGCCACTTCTATTTTATTCGTGTAGTAAAGATTAAAGAGCTCTTTCTTAAAACAAATTCAAATTTACGTTTGGGTCATCAGCTGAAGTTTTTCCCATTTTAAAGAAAAAGCAACGGAGAAAAAGAAACTCCTGGGAGAGCCTACTAGCACCATCAAGGACTTTATGAATTTCGTTAGCTGAGCAAGATGCTTTTTAAAGGAAAAATTATGTGGATATACACCCCCAAAAATATAACTTACAACAAAGGAAATCAATATCTATCAAGAGAGATTTCAATTACACTAACCACCAATGAATAATACAGACATTGAACTACTCATTCAAGTGATGACAACTCTGACTACTCATAACTATTTTATTTCATTATCTATTCTGAATAGTAAAGAACTGGGCTGATGTCTTATGACTTGCTACGTCATTTGCTATCTACCTTACCCCCAGGTCGAGCCAAAAAGATTCACATTAGTATGCTTTTTTAATGACCTTTGAATGCAGAAGGTACGGATAAGCGTCTTTAAAGCATTGCTCATATGCAGTAGAAACAACGATTAGATAATGAGGTTAGGTGTATGATAGTAAGTTGATTGATCAGGCTATAAACCTCAATTAATAAACAGTTGTGCTAGGTTTTAGGTTGACCATGATTAACATCATGGGCTTATATGGGACTATCATATCGCTGCTTATTTTGGGTAGCGTATCACGCCTTATAATGGAGGTAGTGCTTATGATTGGAGATTCTGGGTTACATGGCTCAGAATCGCTCACAATGGCGTCGGTGCACTGTCTTCCTTTAAACTGTGAGTTTAAAATCGCTCCATATCTTTCTTTCTACGAACTAATTCTTTCTTCCTGTACTATGTCCTTATACGCAATCTTTCTTCTACATATTACCACCACTGAGCTAACTACTTCTATGAATCCGGTGTTCATCTTGTTGTACTAATGAGGTATGGCAACTTGGACCGATGCACATATTTGCCTGGTCCTACGTTGTAGCTGACTGAGTGCTGATTAATTGAATTTATATTGGTGTGCTTTTAGACTGAGCTGCTTAATTATACTGATTAACTGAGAACGGGGAATGATGTCTTTTCAAAATCTCCAACTTTTGTTTCATCGATGGTACCCCCGATGTAATAATGGATTAATGCTACCAGCCACTAAACAATCCTGGCAGAGCGTGTTTGACAACCGTTGTCCTCTTTAGTTACACACTTGGATCGACGAATCGGGTGTTCAAAAAAAGACGTCTACCCAGCCGATGCGGATCACGTAATGAGAACCGTCTTCAATAGCTTCGTAATTTTATTAACATCGGTATCAATTTGCTCTCTTCGTTGTTTTGACCACATATAAAGTTGTTATTCACAAAAAATAGGGTTTTCAGTGAGATATTACTGTTTGTTCTTGAAATAATAAGCTATGTGATCTAATTTTGTACATGTTAACGTGAATCTAACAACTCAAATGTAAGGTGAAAATTACTGTGCTTGGTTTTCTCAGCGATAAATACACACTATATACTTATTGAGTTTGCTAGATGCTAAATTTAACCATTTGTGTTCAAATAGATTTGTTTGGAACTCTTCAGACTAGTCAAGGTAAGGTTCGGTAGTTAGCGAGTATTTCAGAAAAATATGCACAAATGATCCACTCTCAACGCGGGATACTAAAATGATGGGAAGAACAATTTGACTGCTATCTAGCCACACTTTAGTTACTTACTTTTACCAAGAAATCTGAATGTGGTGTTGACGTAAACCTCCCACCCTCTTAATGAAGTAGAAAAAGCCATTGCTAATTTTAGGCAAAGGATAGTAGGAGGTACTGACGGATTAAAGCCAGAAATCTTCCAAGATGATTGTTTACTCTTGGCTTTCAAGTTAAGTGAGATATTAGCTAGAGTATGGGAAATGAACCTAGTCTCATTTTACTGGTCCCGACTGTTGATCATTCCAGTCTACAATGAAGGATAGAAATTCTCTTGTGATGACCACAGAGGAATCAGTTTGACTTATATAGTGTCTAAAATTATCGACCTTAATAATCCTCGTAGAAGCCAGGCTGGTTTCAGACCCGGGGATGGATGTGTAGACAAAATATTTGCCCTTTGTCAGATTTTGGAACATGGACTTACCCACCGACTACAAACTATGTTTGTGATTCCTGAACTTAAGCCAGCGTTCGGTTCTGTAGATCAAGAGGTCTTTTGGTAGTGTTTTTTATCGGAAGGTGCACCAAAAAGGTACATTAACCTTGTACAAGCTCTTTACTCGAATACTACTAGTCAAGTCGGAACTTATGGAGGTGTCATTGGAGTTGGCAACTCAAAGTGTTGTCTATCGGGGTTGTTCGCTTTCCCCATTTTTATTTAACTCTGTCATAGACATTCTTTTGGAAATAACTCTTACATCGTGACATTTTAGAAATCGATTTGTTACCAGGATATTCACCTGTCAGTTTAGAATACGCTGATATTGTTCTCTTTGGTGAGGATGCTGACAGAATACAGAGGATTTTGATTACTATGCGCAACAATGTTGTCATGTTTGGGATGCATTTTCTTCCATCTAAGTACAAAGTTTTGTTTCTGGAGTGAGTTGTATCAATGCCTGGCTTAATGGTGGAGAATGAAATGATTGAGCATGTCGATCACTTCACGCATCCTGGGAGTCTCATCAGTACTAGTGAGTTGGTAACTGACGAAATCTCGAGGCGGATTCAGAAGGCCCAGTTGGCGCTCGTCAACTTGCGTCATACGCGGTGTAGGCGTGATGTCCCTTTGCCGATCAAAGGACGTATTTACAAGGAAGCAGTTCCCTGTCCTACTTTATGGCTGTGAAATGTGTCCTTTAAAAATATGTATACCATTTGTAGATTAATAGTATTTAATCATAGATGTTTTTGAAGCATTGTATTAGGACAATAGAGTGAGCGATTCTGAGGTTGAATACAGATTACTCGATGAAGATGTAAACGAGGTAGTGAATGCTTATCGACTGAGGTGGTTAGGACAAGTGTTACGTACTCACAATAACTGCCTTCATCGACACGCAATGTTTGCCGGCTGAGGAGCAAGTTGGGAGAAAACTAATAGCGGCCAAACTATCGGCGAATTATCGTAACGGCTGGGGCGGCGGATAACATGACTTAGGACCAGTCAAAAAGGCGTATATCCACTCTTTCTTCCTCTAGATTTAGAGTTCCAAAGTTATTTTATTCCGTGAGTTCATTCTTTCTTCTGGAATCATATTCTCTAGGTCTTTTATACAACTAACGATATTTTTACTGCTTTTATTACTCTGGGATCACTTTTAGTAATTTTATTTCGCGGGTGTAGTAGACTGAGTCGAAAACACACACATATGCCAGCTTCTACGCCAGTTAGTCAGCTGCAACGTAGGACCAATCACATATGTGCATCGGTCCACGTTGCCACACGTTGCGCATGACTAAGTGCCCCTTACCTATTCTCTCTTTTCCAAATGTTATTTCCCTCCATAACACATTTCTGGTGCCCTGTCGTATGAAATATTTTGTGGCGCAATTAAGAAACTCCGCTCATACTAGCGGAGAAGATAAGTTTGGTCAGAGCTTTTTGGATGCTATGCATGAGTTAGTAATCATCCACAAAATGAATCTAACAGTTACTATAGGTCGCCAAGTGGTTAACCTAAAGATTGTATGAAACGCATTAGTATTAGAAAAATAATAGTTGGGAACTTACAGGTATACATAAGCAGCAACTGAGAATACAATAAGTGCCTTGTCCAAAGATGAATATGCGAAACAAAGTCCCACGAAAAGACAAAGTCGAAAAAGCAAGTAAAAACGATCAATTATGTCCATATTTCCCACCTCGTTAACCCCTTCATCGGGTCGATCATTATTTCGTATTGCATTATTAAACACTTCTTGTGCTGCTTGAGGTTGGATTTGGTCAGCTCTTTGGTTAACTCCATCTTCATTCGGTAATACCTCACCCGCTTCCCTCTGACGACGATTACCATTAAACACTCCCCAACCGGATAAAAGTGCCTGTGCCCTTTGAATCCACTGTTGCGTGTTGCTAGATGAACTGTTTGGGATTGCTTGGTGTGAAGAGCTATGAGTTTGTGGTACATAAGCACTGTTAGGGAGACTATAGTTTCCGGGAAGCATTTGTATCACAGTCCCTGTTAAAAACAATTAACAGTGTACTATATTAAAACCGATAATCGTAACACTGTGACAGTAACTCACCAGCAAACGTTACATTAACTAGTTGTACATTTAGTGAGATCCTTTTGCACTTGAAACGAGCATTCAATAAAGCAAAAAACATCTTTTAAAAAAAATTACTTAAAGAGAGATAACTTTCGAAATTAAATAAAATGTGTAGATATACGGAACTGCTTGTTAACGATATGGGAATGCCATTCATGATTATTGCAAAAAGTCCTCATAAAGTATAAACCAACGTACTCATAAGCTTATCTGGTCAAAATCTTTGTATGTAAGTGAAAAATAGAAACATACTCCACAAAATGATACATTCATCATTGATCTTCTTAATCCTAGAGGTGATATTTATCATTACTATCATAAAATCATGACAATTTAATCTTAATTGAAATGTCTCGTCAATCTCATTATAACAACACAAAAAACTCGTACGTTAAGAAACATATGAGGATAAGATCCATACCTGATCCAAAATCGATAGGGCAACGGTAATCCTGTGTGCGGTACTCAGTCCGATTTACTGGAGGATTCTCCATATAAAAAGTTTGTAGATAATGATAATACGCTTGCTGATATTTATGCATTTGCTCGGGTGAAATATCACTGTAAGAAAAATTCCGGAAAATAACGATTAGATTATGATACAAAAGTATAGGGAAGTTGAGACGGACTTTTATCTGAGATCTGGTTTATAATACTTCACAAATTGGAGCTGAATACGAGTCTGTGGTGAAAAATGAAACAAAAACCTAGAGTCGCGCGGCGCATGCCAGATTCGGTTCATAAATTTTTTGTGGGATATTTTACAAAAACGGGAAAATAATAATACTAAATTGATTAGACGAAAACGAAAAACAAGTGGACACTTCAGTGACTATAGTCTAGTATTTTTATTTATTTATTTGAACACATAGATATTGGTACAAAGGGGCATCCGATACTTATGCGCTACACAAATCTCGTTTGATTTGTGTGAGAGCTGTGATACTGCCCAGGTGCCCAAACCGGAGCCTTTGGCCTAAAGATCTGATCCGCAAGGCAGTGGAGCGACGTAAGGAGATGCAGTCCCATGGTAGCCGGTGACCAATAATTGGTTCATACGCCATTTGTTCCCTCAGGATACTGAGGCCCATGTGCACCACTGGTTTGGATTTTCCAACTCCCGTGGGTGGACTCTCCATGTTAAGGCGCCGGACCTTCACTTCTCGTCCTATCAATCTCGTAAACAACACCTCCGCCACGAGAAGGCAATGAGTAGGACTTCCCTGGCAGAGGCTATATACGCGTGACCATGTGAGAGCATTGGGAAAGAAAGAGTAGACTCTCCCCACTCTCGGCCGTACCAAGGCAATTATGTATATATATATATAAAACAGCTACATGTGTCGGTGAACACAAGCAAATCGTCAGAGAGGAAATCAAGGAACATAAACTCACGAACCTGGATGGAGGGTATATACTACTAGAATTCCACGCAACAAAATCTATATATTGAAAGTAAAATTTTAAAACTGAAGAATTAAGCCCTCACACTCCAACTTGTCAGCTCCTAGGTACAACAGGTTTCGGAATGGGCACTCATTTTTAACTAACTGTGAAAGGACCGAACAGCAGACCAGGATAGTGACTTGCCTGTTAATGTGATAGTCGTAGAATTCAGCATGGCGTTTGGTAAGATGTCTCACTTAGTGCTTATGCAATCTCCCTAGTCTTGAGATAGCAATCAGCTACAACGTAGGTACAATAAAAAGCATTTTCTACGTCCATGAACTACCAAGACAGTTATAGTCGTCGACACTGGGGTTCGGTGACTTCGAATTCCGGAGAATAAGGCTGATAACTTTGGTCTTCAAGCTCGCTTAGGTGAATTAGTAAGACGACCACAAATTCGATGTCCGAAGATCAATTCCTGGAAGATTCCTCAATTCACATTGGACTCGGCAATGGCCGCCAATAAGATCATTGATACACTACTCCCATGAGTCCAAGAATGAAAAGAACTAGGGTTAGTAGTGATTCACGACTTAGGAACAACTCCGAATAGTAATGCAGCAGCTAGCTTATCCTTCAACGCGATTCTGATAATCCCAGTTTCGTTTGAGCATCTCTCCCTAAGATGTAAAGTTGTGTGAATGAGTGATCAATTTCTGTTCTTAATAAGTGTTTTTGTGGTCTAACATAAATAAGATGGTGTACATGTAAGATAACCCCGTACGAATGTATAAACACCTTACAAAGTGGGATAGATGTAGTACACTTGGGTCGAATTCATGAACAAGTATCACGAAATCTTTCTACAGCAATGCTCAGCAGTTAGTAACGTTGAGTTAGTTGGCTACGAATCAGTTGCAGCGACTGGTTTTTATATATATAGCTCTTCGCAAGCCATATTTCCAGCGCTTATTTCCTATAGATGTCATTGACATTTTTATTCTGAATCGTTTCATGTCCACTTTCTAACTTAACCTAGTTGTACTGACGTGATGTAATAACTGACGAATGGATGTGTACTCCAGGATTTGAGTTGCTGATTGACGTTAGCGACGTGACTACGGTCTAGCCATTTGCTGCTATAAAGGTCATACCGGAGAAAAGATGTTACAAAGAGCTGCAAGATAATTCGGTGTGTAAAACTTACAACAGAGTATTGTCACCTCGTTGGTTGTTGACATTAGAATCGCCAACTGGTCTTGGGTTGGGGTATACTAGATGAATTGTAGGAAGCCCATCGACCTGAAAATGACCAGAAAAGATACCTTACCTGACTACAAATGTCTGAGATTGATGTATCATCTTTTAAAAGCTTACCAGCATGGATAAGTCTTTGAGATGATACACTAGGTTGGGCGGGATGATGCTCTGATAAGTAGTTCTTCAAGTCACTGGCCAGCCAGTGAGAAAGGCATTGCACAGTCAAACTAGGTATTTTGTCACTAGGTGATTTGATTATGACCTTAAACCTCTTATCACCCATCTTCCTAGATGACGTAAAACTGTAGACGAAAACCCGCCCCTCCTGAATCACTCATCATAACAAGAATATCGTCCAATATCTTCAAGATGAACCATTTTAACAGCTTGAATCTTGGTGTCAGGTGGTAGTTCTAACTCCTTTCTCTGGGTTCAATCAATTTTGCTCGCTGCTCGGCTTCAGTAGCCCAAATGACGTCTCAGACCAACTTTTGGGAATGATAGATGAGAAGTTCGGAAAGTGATGGATAATTACTAAGTTTTCGGCAAAGTTTGGATTCTAAGCCTTTAGCCTTAAACTAAACATTTCTAGAGATAAATTATAGCGGAGGAGGACAATAATAAGTAGTGAAAAAAAGGAAAAATTCATCGGACTACTAGGTTCTTGTAGCAGTAAATAAGTCCCCAAAATCAGTAGCTCTGAAAGTTCCCGACATTTGGTGCTGACCTCATTGCTTTTACTGGATTTACCTAGCTGAAGGCGCTTGATCACGCACCACCACCAGATCACGAGTGGATATACCGTGCTACTTATTCCGTTAAACTACTAGCCAGCTTAGATCAAACGTTCCTTTGACATACTGATAGCTTTCTAAACATATTATGAAACGTCTTCATTGCTGACTTCTGATTTAACTGGATTAAGTATTACTGGTTAAGGTGTTGTCAAACTCCCAAAATTTGTGGCATCTTTACTCTTGTAAACACATGAGCAGATTTCCCCTTTTAGTACAAAAATAAATCGGTGATCCTGTAGCGGTAAATAAATCCCTAAAATAAATAGCTCTGTAAGTTTTCGACATTGGATGCTGACCATATGTTTTAGTGGACTCATCTAGCTGAAGGCGCTCGGTCAGGCATCCGCACCAGATCACGTGTAGTAACGCCGTGCTCAACATCAACCACAATCGCTAGCCAGATTAGATCAGAGAATCCCGGTATATTGGTCATCGCCAAATATACTCTTCCGATCTCCTCGACTCTGTCTTTTGATTTCTCTTGGTGGGAACGAAATATCTTAGAAGGTGTTACTGGTAGAAGCGTTGTCAAACACTGAATACCTGTGACATCATCATTGGTGAGACCGTCGTGATCTGGTACACCTTATTGCAACTGTGAGTCTGTTCCTTTTTGGGATTTTTATATATCATTGCCTTATTTTTTATTTTTTTTAAACATTGTGATTTTTTTTCGTGTTTTTCTTGGATATATATATATATTTTCCCCTCGTTCATTATCGTACTTCATATTTCATCATGACTGAACAGACACCTAAAGTACTCAAGCTTAAGACCTTGTCCCCACCTTCGTTTCAACTGATGCCTTTCTGGCCCGACAACATCGAAGCCTGGTTTTGCTACGCAGAAGCCGACTTTTCCGAGCACGGCGTGATCGACACACGTGCACAATTCCTCGCAGTAGTCAAGGCACTGCCGCGGGAATTCAACAGGTACGTAACACCTAGTATGTTTACTAGTGATGTTTCCGATCCTTACGAAATCTTAAAACGCTCGATTCTTAAACGAGGAGACCTAACCGATCGACAAAGGTTAGATCAACTCTTCAACAATATCGACCTGCAACACGGTTCTGCGACGGACATGTTGCAACGGATGAGAGAGGTTATAGGCCCAAGAACTTTCGACGAAGGTCTATTCAAACAACTCTTCTTGTCAAAACTTCCCCAACAGGTGCAAGCAGTTCTGGTCTCGTTCCAGAACAACGCCTTAGACGAACTAGCTGTATCTGCCGACCGCATTCTAGAAATTACGAAACCTTCTACTACCGAGGTATTTTCAGTCAAAGAAAAGCCTCACACGACTCAGAATGACATAACCGACTTATGTCACACACTCACGCGTTATCTTAGTCTTCGTACCGACCGTAAGAGATCGCGCACACCACGTAGAAGCATTTCTCGTAAGCGATCTGTCTCTAGACCACGAGAGACAGATAACCCCGACTGGTGCTGGTATCATAACCAGTATGGAAAGTTTTCCAGAAATTGCAGAAAACCCTGCAATTTTCCCAACACGAAACCGACTGATTCGGGAAACTTCCAAGCCGGCACGCGTTAACGGCAACCGTAGCCGGCGAACAAAGCCGTCTGTTATTCGTCACAGATGTGACAACGAGAGTTCGCTACCTCGTCGACACTGGCGCAGAAGTTAGCGTTCTCCCAGCAAATCCTAACGACCGACTTCACGAATCGACCCTAAACTTACAGGCGGCAAACGGAAAACCGATCGCTACGTATGGCAAAAGGTACGTTTACCTTAACGTGGGTTTACGCAAACCCATCCACTGGATTTTCGTCGTTGCAGATGTTTCTATGCCAATCATTGGTATGGACCTTCTACAACACCACAATCTGATCATCGACACTCGCAAACGGAGGCTAGTAGACGGAAACACTAATTTGTCCGTTTGCGTAACTTCTTTTACTGGTTGTAGAGTATCCCCAGTCACAGTTAAACATATGATAGACCCACTCTATCAACCACTACTCGATAAGTACCCTGGGATACAACAAACGCAAACGAAACTACCGTGTGTAACCAGCAATGTTACACATCACATCACGACTACAGGACCACCTGTATTTTCTAAAGCACGACGACTAGCTCCTGAAAAGCTAAGGTTAGCGAAAAACGAATTCGATCACATGATGGACTTAGGAATCATACGACCGTCAAGTAGCCCATATGCATCTCCGTTGCACATGGTCCCTAAAAAGGACAGCAACGATTGGCGTCCAACTGGTGACTATCGGCGATTGAACGCGAAAACCATTCCCGATCGTTACCCGTTGCCTCACATTCACGATTTGACAGCTACCTTGAAAGGTACAACTGTCTTTTCGAAAATCGACTTGGTTAAAGCGTATAACCAAATCCCTATGGCTACTGACGACATACCGAAAACGGCTATCATAACTCCCTTCGGACTCTATGAATTTTTGCGAATGCCTTTCGGTCTAAGGAATGCTGCTCAAACATTCCAAAGATTCATAGACGACGTTTTTCGAGGTCTCAACTTCGTACACGCGTATGTTGACGACTGTCTAATCGCAAGTCCGGACAGAGAAACACATCTCAAGCATCTGGACCTTGTTTTCGAACGATTACAAAAACATGGCATAACTGTAAACGTTCAGAAATGCCAATTTGGAACCGACTCGTTAGACTTTCTGGGACACACTATCGATGCTCAAGGTATCCGACCCCTTAGAACCAAAGTGGCGGCCATTCTGGATTACCCAGAACCGACCACCGTCAAGCAATTACGCACGTTCAACGGCCTGGTAAGTTTCTATAGACGTTTCATACCCAGATGCGCATCACTTATGAAACCTCTGACCGACCAACTTCGTGGAAATGCGAAATCCATTAATTTGGACGACACCGCACGAAAAGCATTCTCCACAGTCAAGGAACTGATTGCTAAAGCAACAATGCTCGCACATCAGGACACCCGAGCACCCATTAGCATCGCAGTAGACGCATCCGACTCAGCAATCGGAGGAGTCTTACAACAATGGGTTAACAACTCCTGGCAACCCTTGGCATTTTTCTCTAGAAGGTTGCTAGACACCGAATCGAGGTACAGCACATTCGGTAGGGAACTCCTAGCTATGTATTGTGCTGTACGGCATTTCCAACACTATATCGAAGGCCGTGAATTCACTCTTTTCACGGACCATAAACCGCTCACTTTCTCGTTAAGCTCTCCTTCTGACAAGTACTCTCCCCGTGAGTCTCGACAACTGGACTACATTTCGCAGTTTACTTCAGATATTCAACACATCTCTGGAGCAAACAATGTAGTTGCAGACGCTTTATCTCGTATAACTTCCTTGAACAGTTTCCAAGGAATCGACCTTCTTAAACTCGCCGAGCTTCAAAAAGAAGACAGTGATCTTCAGCACGAGTTATCGTCCACAACACTTAAACTACGCATCAAACAGATGGGAACAGGTAAGGAAACCTTACTTTGTGACACATCTACAGGTAGGGATCGCCCAATCGTGCCGAAACATTATCGACGCAATGTCTTCAACACATTGCACAAACTTTCTCATCCAGGTGTTCGTGCAACCATCAAGCTTATAGCAGAACGATTTTGCTGGCCTGGCATGAATAAAGACGTGAGGGAGTGGGCACGCTCCTGTGTAAGCTGCCAAAAATCTAAGGTTATCAGACACAATAAATGTCCCTTAGGCTCGTTTAAAACTCCCGATGCTCGTTTCGACCATGTTCATCTGGATTTGGTAGGACCTTTACCAGATTCAAATGGATACTCTTATCTCTTAACCTGCGTAGACCGTTTCACTCGATGGCCAGAAGCAGTACCTATCAAGGACAGCACTGCTGAAACAGTGGCCCGCACATTCGTCGAACGATGGGTAGCAAACTTCGGTTGCCCTTCAACCATCACTACAGACCGCGGACGTCAGTTTGAATCTGATCTTTTCCGTCGTCTGACCACACTTTTAGGAATCACTCGCTTCCGAACGACCGCCTACCATCCCCAAGCAAACGGGTTGGTAGAACGTTTTCACCGACAACTGAAAGCTTCGCTATCAGCTGCAAACGTTTCACAATGGACCGACGCTCTTCCACTCGTCTTACTAGGTATCCGCAATGCAGTGAAAGCTGACATTGGATACACTGCGGCTCAACTCGTTTATGGAACGACACTTCGACTTCCAGGAGAATTCGTGGATCCTTCGTGCTCTTCGATGAACATGGATCTAACCTCCTACACGAACAGGCTTACAAACGCAATGCGTTCAGTTAAACCTGCTTCCACTCGACCTCAATCAACTGATGTTTTCGTTCAACCTGACTTACCATATAGTACACACGTTTTCATTCGTCGAGACTCGCATCGACGACCATTCGAATCAGCATACGAAGGACCCTTCAAAGTTCTTCAACGTGAATCTAAGTACTATATAGTCGATAAGAACGGAACCAACGATAGCATCAGCATCGATCGCTTAAAAGCAGCGTATTTAGAAGGAAATCCTATCCACGTCGATTTTCCTTCGGTACAATCGAACGACACGACTCAGACACTAATAATACCTCATCCGACAACCAACACACACGAAGATACTTCGACAGTATCCGAAAATAAACTTAAAACGACGCGTTCTGGAAGAAGGGTGAGATTTCCAGAACATTTAAACGACTATTGCACGTAAGGCACTTCTCGACATTTTATATTATTTTTTTTTGAAAAAAAAACAATTTTAATATGCTTATATATTTTTATTTCTATTAAAAAAAAAACAACAAAAAAAACAATTTTTTAACGCTATTACGTGCTCATGAGTTTGTAGTGGCATTGGACAATAACCGCACAATCCACAAAGCTGAACGTGAGACTACTCAGAAAATAGATATTCAATATTTGACGCGGATAAATACCTAACGATGGAGAAGGCGCGAACAATGAATTGAATGGACTGGGTTTAATCGGATGGCATGGCTCGGCCGTGCAGGCGTGGTCCATCTGAATGTTATCTTATATCTTCTATTCGTATTAAATATATTGTTCCTTCTCTAGCCTAACGTTGTTCTACATCATGTATTGGTAATTGATACGATACAGTGAGTTGGCGTAGTCGATGGTGTGACTTCCACGTAAGATCTTATAGATTAGGCAGTTATATCATGACAAATCTACAAATTTAGGATTAGGTTTATTATTAGAGCAGTACTAATATCATAGTAGACCATAGTTCTACATTGGTGAGCCCAACTAAAGAAACGCAACCTGTTATTGTTAATCCTTATTTCCACCTTAACCTTCCCAATAAGTTTTTATTTTTGTAAACCCAGTATTCTAATAGTCCTTTGATTAATGGTCACATATATTATCGTAATGTTATATCTATTAGTTCACATAACTTACTAGCTCAATCGATGATAAAAGTTGATCATCTATATCAACTAATTAGCTCTGATGGTTCGTTAACAAGCTTTAATAGCTATTACCTGCTTCAGCGACATAGACTTGTTTAAACATCAAGCTCTAGCAAATATGACCTGTTAATAGCGTAAATATATATTGACTAACAATGCAATCAAGGATTGAATAGTTATCTGGATCTAATTCTTAGTGTTCCTTCGCTTAACACCTCGTCCTGTTTTAAACTATGCACTATCCTGTAATATCTTTTCTTCCGACCACTGCCTGCCTAATTTCATATTCTCGAGTTCCATTGCCAAACAACAAGGGTGACACTTCTCCAAAAAAATACGGTGAGTTCCAGCTATACGTTTTCTGCAATCATAAGTTCATTTTAGATGGCTCATTCAACGGCACACACAATTATCTGGATTCATTCAGTTGTTCTGATCAGAGTGAGTCCCAAAAACCTCGACAGCATCAAGCACCCTGGAAGTCATTGTCATACTGCATTTTTTATTCTGGATGCTTTTGGAGCACTACTACTCACGAATGGCGTTATATATGTCGTCCACTGAGTAATCTAATTTTCAAAAATAACCCAGGCGAGTTCAACTATTTTACTTAATGATTTCTTGTACTTAACATGTATATGTTTCCTAGTTGCTTTTGCCATATATTTGTAAGTGTCCCTAGGCTAAATGCATTAACTTCTTACGGATTGTTTATAACGCGTCATATTCTTGCCTGAAGTTTCATAAGTAGTCTTAACTTTAAAATTATCTTTCTCATCATGTTCATTATTTTCAAATTGTCATATACGTCAACAACCTGCTTGTTAACCTGGCCCATACATGCGTTGCACTATATCTTCATGTCTTCTAAATTTAGGAATCATCTGAATCGCCTTTAACATTTATCAATAAACCCATCATAGTCGTTGTTGCTAATCGTATTTGGGTTTATGGATAAGTTTATCATATTAGCAGCCTAAAATGCGAACATAGTTTAAATAATAAGATTAAAAATTTAGGTACTATCAACTGCACTAGTAAAATAACTAAATCCTCAGGTAGCTGTTGGCTAAATAAACGTTTAAAATCAAAACTCCGTAGCCTACTAGAATTAACACTAAACGAATATTTCTGAATTGACATTTATAATTAAATTAGGCGTCTCGGATTCTTTAACGTTATAAATTTCTGATGATTTCGAATCACCTAAAGCAACAATACCTATTTTTCCACTGACTAATCCTCAATCAACACTATCACTAGTTAAATTTAATAGTTTCAGGATATCGTCATAAAGCATTGTCATGACTTGACAATCACGTAATATGATTGATAAAATTAATGAAACTATTAACAAAATCGGTCAACAAATTGACTTATAATTATCACTAGTGTTGTTTTTCTTTTATCTTCATTCACTACAGATGATTACAGTATGTTTCTTTACCAGTTGCTCATTCAGTAAATATCTCAAAACCTTGTCAGTCTAATTGATGGTTTAGCGACACAATCATGCATGCAAATAATCAGTATAAGCAGTCGAGCAAATCTCCTGCAAACTGGAAACATCAATGTCGAATTTACCCCAACACTGACTAAGGTTCAAGCAATTATCATAGACGTGAGTTGGGAGTGTACTCCTCTTGGTTACAACTTATGTTCTCCCTGATAATCACATGAGCATCACTCACTATTAATCATCTTGTAAAAACTTACTTAGCCAAATACATCTTGCAGCACCACATCACTTAGTAATATGACATAGGCTTAACTGATTTCAATAACTTATAACCACTATATCTCAATTAAATCGTATTCCGCCTTATAATAAACTGCATACTTGCATCTAACTTGTATGCCCAATCAGCCGGCAAGTATAAATATAAATAAATAGTCTGCCACAGATCAGAACATTGAGTCTAGAGCATGTCTCTTACGAATACACTCATGTTTAACGATTTGTTCTTAGCTATCTGTCTAAAATCCATATAATTATCACTCATGTATTTAAATTTTATTTTGATGAACATTCATGTGTATTAGTAGTATTACTAAATTCTATCACGGTCAAGTAAAAATGAGGTTGAGAAAATCTCCCCGTAACTAAATAAACCGTATCAAACTAACTGGAACACTAGTTGGAATTCTTCTCCACGGTATACTTTTGTTCCTTCAGTTAGCCTACTAATACAGATGCATTTGGAATTCAATTCATATGGACAACTTACCGGCATAATCGTTATTTGATTTCATAATTTAAACCAAAACTAATACCAATATTAACATTTCTACAATATTCATTACTTTAATATTTCTAAACACAAAATAATTACTGCCTATAAGTTAAGTTATTAACACGCATCGTTTTATTATTATTATTATTGTTATGCCATTCTTTATAGTTCAAATAATCTTCACCCAAATTCTCATGTCAAGCGTTTTAAGCATGAAGGCAGATATTTTAAAATTATTATATGTATTTCCCGATCAGATGCTGCCGCCTTCTTTTTGATTTATCTTTCAGCTTACCAATACCCGGAGGATTCTTATTATCCTTGGTAACCTCCGGCGCGCGACAATCCCATCCAATTCGGTATCGAACCAACATCACGTTGATTCTGGTGGGAGAGTAGTGTAGTGGCATTGGACAATAACCGCACAATCCACAAAGCTGTGAACGTGAGACTACTCAGAAAATAGATATTCAATATTTGACGCGGATAAATACCTAACGATGGAGAAGGCGCGAACAATGAATTGAATGGACTGGGTTTAATCGGATGGCATGGCTCGGCCGTGCAGGCGTGGTCCATCTGAATGTTATCTTATATCTTCTATTCGTATTAAATATATTGTTCCTTCTCTAGCCTAACGTTGTTCTACATCATGTATTGGTAATTGATACGATACAGTGAGTTGGCGTAGTCGATGGTGTGACTTCCACGTAAGATCTTATAGATTAGGCAGTTATATCATGACAAATCTACAAATTTAGGATTAGGTTTATTATTAGAGCAGTACTAATATCATAGTAGACCATAGTTCTACAAGTTTATTTTCCATTTTTTTCCGCCGACCTTGTGTTTTTACGCATATACGAGTGTATGTTCGACATGCACTTACATTTTCTTTTTTCTTTTCCAGGACGGCTGGAAAAGAACGATGACGTTTATGAGGATCCGAAATTTTCATTGTACATTTTCTTTTTTTTACTATGTTGTACCTCCGTCCCATATAGTAAGGAAAGACGACCAGACGCTGCTAAGTTTAGTAAGCGATCAGAAGAGTGTTTACCAACGACAAACTCGTTGGGTTTAAACTTCTGGCTGGCCACGTCTTAGGGTCGTCACTGCCCCACTAGGGGGGGAGTGATCTGTAGCGGTAAATAAATCCCTAAAATAAATAGCTCTGTAAGTTTTCGACATTGGATGCTGACCATATGTTTTAGTGGACTCATCTAGCTGAAGGCGCTCGGTCAGGCATCCGCACCAGATCACGTGTAGTAACGCCGTGCTCAACATCAACCACAATCGCTAGCCAGATTAGATCAGAGAATCCCGGTATATTGGTCATCGCCAAACATACTCTTCCGATCACCTCGACTCTGTCTTTTGATTTCTCTTGGTGGGAACGAAATATCTTAGAAGGTGTTACTGGTAGAAGCGTTGTCAAACACTGAATACCTGTGACATCATCAATCCATTGTATTACACATCCTTTTATAAAACTGCACTCGGGATTAATCCTTTCTTACTGATGAAAGTGTTCAACGAACAATTAAAATGATGAAAATCTTCGGATCCCTACAAATATCCTTGGGAAGTCGCTTGGACTAGTTCAGTCGGCACCGAATTCCAGTATTTGACAATTCTTGATGAATATAAGTTGTGTCTACAGTCCATTCTGCTGTGTTGTATCTCCAATTTCTGGGTGTTACTCCTTAGGTTTGCATTGGGACTAAGCTTAATTAGATGTTTAGGGGGATGTCAAGAAGTATTAAAGATACTATAAGTCATCAGAAGGTCACCTCTAAGAGGCCTATACTCTAATGGGTAAAGGTTAAGTGACTGGAGGCGCTCTTCATAAGATCTGAATTTTAGTCCCTGAACTGATTTCGTGGCTCACCGTTGGATACGATCCAGAGTGTCCTTATCCTTTTGGAGTTGGAGTTTTGTTCTTTTATTCCTTACTTTTTTGTTCCCCTGTTTGTTGTGACCAGTTTTTGTCACGATTTAACATATCAGAACGACATTAACTGTACTGGAAAATACAGTTCATCCTCCATGGAGGATGAGAAGTGAGAGAGATATTAAGTAATCCAATGTACTAAAACGATTAAGTGAAATTTGAACGATAACGAAGATGGATTGTGGTATTTGTACTAACTGTTGATTCCTTTGTACTTGATTGCGCGCTCATCATGAACTATAAATATAATACGTTCGTTTGTGCTCTTAAAATTCTACTTGCCTTGTATTGCAGTATTTCGGGGATTCTTATATGGCGCAATGATCGAATACTTCTAATTATCACATGGGCGTCGCAATATACCCTGTGTTTGAACAGTTGGATATATACTCAAATTCCGATGTTTTCAAAAATGACATGGAAAGGTTTGAAATCTGGAGTATGACCAGGCAAAGTGGTAAAGATGATAAGGATGATATCAAACCGTAGTAAATACATTTTCGTTTGTAAAAGTATTGATCACAAATTAAATAGTAGTAAAATAATTGACGAAATTCATAGTTCAGTTAAATTACTTTGATGTGATCCGTAGAATAATTGATATGTGGCAAACCCGTCCCATAAAACTAATCAACATGCTTTGAGTGGAACTAAGAATGCAGTGCTAGATACGTTGCCTTTTGTGACTAATTATGTAAAAACTGGTAATATTTCGTTACTGAAGAGCTCAAAATGGATAAAAATATCTGTTACGCAACCAGAAAATGGATATATCATCTGCGTGATCAATTGATTTCAGAGATTAACATATCACATCTGGAAAAAGCGTTCATACAAATGTCGAAGTGTTCTTTTCAAGATGCTAGAACTGCGTGTAATAATTATGAGGCAGTGCATGAAATTGACTTCTAGGACATCAAGAATCCTAATACAGTGCTTAGTTATCCGAATTCGACGTGTACTCAAGGCCATACAGATAGGCGTTTAATTGACCATAACACTCGTTCTCGTGGAAATATGGTTAACAATTCAGTGAGGATTTTTAAAGCAGGTGACAAGGGTGAGCACAATCTTGGTGAATATTTGTCCTGTGGTAAAATTCACGCACGTAATTCATGTGTATTTCATCATGCTAAATGCTTTATGTGTTGTGATATCGGACACATCAAGTCGGTTTGTAAAACTACTGTGCATTTCGCTTCAAGTAATGCTCAACTTTGTAATACAGCTCTTATTAACTTGGGTGATTCTAATGATTATATATTATTTTTATTTTCAACTTCGTATTCGAAAAGGATTATATTTATCCAATGGTGCTCTTTACTATTTTATTGTTGAAACTGGCAGTATTAAGTCCATCATTTCTCTTGGGAAGTTGAAGTCACTAAATCCTGATGCTATAATTATGCCTATCGAAGTTTCATTTTTAGTATCACTGGTTACAAACTTTCCATTCTTGTGTTCTGTACTTTGCTGATAAGAGACGAAAATGTTTCGCCCTTTAATTGAGAGTCCCTCATCATCTATCCTGGGTATAGTAAATTTAAGAATGCTTCAAGTATAGCTTCCCTTATTGACCACTGGAAATGGTTCCAATTGAGTGCTTGATAACTTGCTGGCTATTGAATCCAAGTGTGAAAACTGCCCACGACTCCAGAGCCCTCTCATCCAGACGAGCAAGCAAAAAACGACAATACCCTGGAAATAAACATCATTTCTATTACTGCTGTAAAACTTAAAGAAGCAGAAAGTAGAGTAGATAAAGTTTTCCAGTGACTAATAACAGTGATGAGAATATTTTATTTTCTGTAGATGTTGGCCAAGACTACAACTTAAAGTCATTTGTTATTAGACATAGAACAAGGCTTCATAAACTGAATTTATATTAAAGTTTGAAGTTGTATAGACCACTAGGTGTCTGTTTAAGAGAATTATAAATGTCATCGTCAATTAGGGATTTAGAGTGATGACCAGTTTCAAAGTTTATTCCTGGAAACCGAAAACATTTGTTATCGATCTGTGTACTTTGAAAAGTGATCTAAGATATCTCTGAAATCTATCAATCTAGCTAAGTGAGTCTTTAAGCACACTGCAAATGCAGCTGGCATCGGCTACAAACTTCCCTTTAAATCTAAGTCGAAATGACACATAAGTTATAAAAATCATGACTCGGAATCCATGGATTATTGTTGTTTGGCTTTCATTTAAAGTTTGTAGCATAGTATTAATGTTATGACGAACTCTTACGACGTTGGGTAAAAAAGTTTCTGATACAAGTTACTCAATACCATTACAAGCTAAAATTGGATGCAGTCGGCAGGCTACACGGCGGTGTTTGAAAGATAACTCACATATCCGGAAATGAACTGAGAGAACCACTAATCGTGGACCACCGAAGATCCTGTGCTTATCTTGAGATAAAAGGCTTCATGAGTTAGATTTGTGCATACTATCCAATCGTAAATTATGTTTTGACTCAGTTACTATTCATAGAATAATAAGAAAGTATTTAAGACCTGATATATGGCCTGTTTTACTAGGTTAAATTAACTTGGAAGTGAGACCTATACCCATGAAACACAGGTCTGTCTTAGTAGTAATCTATTCATAAAACCTAGTTTCGGAAAATTAGTGTTTGCATCTTTGCTGTATCCATTCAGAAGATTAGATGTACAAACATAACCATACTTCATAATTACTGACACAGATATTAAACCTATTTAAAAAAAAAAAAGAATTTGGGGACCTCTGTAACCAGTCAGACTTGAATCTTTTAGGTTTTTGAGTATCCATAACCTAGTTTGTTATTAATTCATCTTTAAAATTTTCGCATCAATGATTAACCACGAAATCTAAAATATTTGTTTATATACGATGATAAGTGCCACCGAAAATCGTTTAGCTGTACAACCCATAAAAATGTGGTGAGACCAAACTATAATCACAAATACAGTAGATAATAAATGTTTGCAAATAAAAGTAGTGTCGTCTGAATCAACTTAGAAACAATCTAAGTACTTGTTTTTGCTAGAAAATTTATATTTAACACCTAGTTGATTAATAGTAAGCGAACTATGGTTGGATTTTAATAGATATTAAAAGGAAGGTGAGTAGCTTAATTGTTATCAAAATAATTTACCACACATTTTGTACTCTAAAAGGAGTATCTATGTTAAACTACAAAATAATTTATATAGTTTTAAACCACTTCCAGTTGCGATCTGATTAGTTGAAGTTCAATTAATTTTCATAATGAATAAAATGTTACGACTTTTACATTTGAAAATAATTTGATCAGAAAATCGTTTAAGTCATTTGAGCAGTTTAGAATTAAAAAAAATTTTACACTGAAAATTTATCATTTGAGTGTGTAGTGTAGGTTCTCACTATACAAGTTTCTAACCACAATACTGAGGTAGAAATTTGTTTATTTGACGCATTCGATACGCATTTCTCAACCCTACAATACTATGAAAGTTTAACCAATGGAATGATCACTGTCTAGAGAATGAAACTTAGGAAAATAAACTAATCGGTAACGTAACTTGGTTAGTGAAGTGTAGACGAGAATGATAATGATTGGTTGTCTGCTTAGTCAGACATGTAGATAGTCTGACAGGTGTCAGATGAGTTATATATTCCCCTTTCCTTATAATAATTATTATTGATTGCTCGTC